TACACGTACATGCACTACAGTGACACATATGCCAAGAGACCGATCAGGAGCTTAGAACTTGTTTGGGATGGAGTGGTGCCCCGCAGATGGAAATACCTGGATGAGGAAAACCCCGCTAGCCGACGGTAGGTCGGCGCCGGTCGGCAACGGGGCAAAAAAACATGCACCACATTTACGGGACTAATAACTTTAGCAGTTGACAAGCCTGGAATCACTAATAATCAAACTATCAGATCAGGGAAAGCAGACGTGTTCCACGCATGAGGGTGCGTGAGATCATGAAGCGGCTAAAGTGAAGCCTTCGCCCGATCACAGGGGCATCATTGAGAAAAACTAAGAGGCATCATTGAGAGGTTCCTAAAGAATGCAGGAAAATAACAATTGGAGCTTCTTGAAATAAAAATAATGTTGAAATATTATGCAAAAAATATGATAATTTGATTTTCCTCTCAAGGCCTACACTTGTTTTTTTTTCAGTTTTACAAGCTAATTTTACGTGTTTATAATTGAACATTATACATTCTAAAATTAGTAAATTTATCCATCGACACTTATCTTTAAATTAAAAATATATCAAGAATATTTCACAATCATCATTGAAAGGTAGCTATAAATACCAAAATAAATAGTTTATGGAAAGCAAAGCATTGAATAAACAAAGTGATAAGAATTTATTCAAAATTTTGAGTCAATGAGCACAAATAAATTAATCGAATGTAATGAGAACATTCTAAATCTACCATCGTGCATACAGAAAGATGTGATAGGTGGCCAAACTATACATTTTCATCGGAACTTACTTGTAAGTGAATTTATTTATGAAAGAATGAATAAAACAGAAATTCACTATTTTAATAAGTTATAAGAGATGTGCCTGTATACATTTTTAATGTGCATTATAAATTTCGATCGTTCTTTATCACAAACTGGTTTTCAAGATGACTCGAAACTCGGTTGATATTTTATCAAAAAATATAGATCAACATATAAGGAAGAATATTCAGACATGAGTACGTCAGGTGTTTATTACGAAGAAGTGATTTAAAGATGCTTTCATATTACAAAGAGTAACAATTTACCTAATTCAACAAAAGAAAGGTGTTCTAAAATTATACCGTTTCAATATTTCTTTGAATAAAATGGAAAATTATGAATGCAAGTTGTTTAACCGGCTTCGAAACGACTAGATTATTCGACTAAAGTTCATCGTATTTATTTTTTGCTTCTTTTGCGTCAAGAACTTCAGCAAACGAACACTGGTGAAAACATTTTGTTCCCTTTATTGTAGCCTGCTTTTGTGGACGGGTGAGTACCGCTCCACTAAAAACTAAATAACATTATATTCTTGAAACTCCGTCTAGATTCCTAGAAATGTAGGAGTATTGCGTTACTCTGCTTTTCAGATGCCAGCGTGCCGATATTTTGGTTGCCGTCGCTTAAAAGTGATCTCAGTCTGAAGCACCTGCGGTAGTACTTTCTCGTATTACGATTTTGTAGTTTTAACCATCCAACTCTGAACAAAAAAGGCTTCGCCCCATCTGTTCTTTTTTATTAATACTTAACATAGGCAAATAAAAGAAGGTAGAAACGTTTCAGCACATTTGCAGTAAATAAAGCTTTGGTGCTGTGTAACCCCGAATTTGTTTATAATATATTTAAATAAAGCTCTGATAAGATGGAGGAAGAAATGTAGTAATATGGGTATTAAAATTGGTAACTCTAATGTTATTCTATTTATTCTTCGATGGTGATCAAGTGCTGAAGATGCTCTATATGTGTTGTGGAAATTATATGAAAAATACTCGGAATGTGGATTAGAAATAAACCTTAACAAGACTAAGTATGTGTTTGTAAGAGAAAGTGCTAAAGGTCTGAAAATGGATGATGGTTTGGAAGTAAAACCCTGTCAAAAATTAAAATACCTTGGTACAGAAAAATGCAAATGGACGCTGAACGTCACATACTAGAAAAAATTGCTAAGGCAGAGTGGCTATATCGTAATTTCATTCACTGATATGGAAAGATGTATTAAGTAACAGTGTAAAGAGAACATTGTATTATTATTATTACTATTATTATTATTATTATTATTATTATTATTATTATTATTATTACTTGTAGAGAATATTGCCCTTTATGGGTCTGAGGTTTGAGAAGTAATAAAAAAGAGCGAAAAAATTAACAGCAATGGAAATAGACTTCTGGAGCCGACGTTGCAAACTGACCTATAGAATGAAGGAATTAAACGTAAAGCGGAAGGAAGTTTTAATATAACTGACATCATAGAAGTGAAACGACTAACATGGAATGGGTCCACACAAAGAATGAACGATGAATGTTGGCCTGAAATATTATGGAAATAGCAATCAGCCACCCAAAGAAGAAGAGGAAGACCTAGACTTACATGAGAAGGCAATGGTGAAAAAGAGGATTGAGTCATGAAAACTTCACCAATAAAGAGATATTGGAGCGAGAGAAACCATAGGATGTCATATAATTTGCTATACTACTACAACGGATATTTTTATTCAGATCTCAATGGATTTTCTTTACCGCCAAAAAACGGCGACCTCCAAGGAGGGATCTACCGATAGAACTATGAAGATATAAAGAGCACAATATCCCCGTGGTACCATTAGTCCAGTCCGTAGGTACATTGCAAAAATGTAATGCAAAAATGCAATGCAAAATGTCATAAAAACTTTTTCTTTTCGGGTGTACCCAGTTGTATGTATCCGGACACTAGTTAAAACTCCAATTTTTGGACCTTACAGACCTTGTGCTAAGTTCAGTAGCTCCAAAAAATCAGAATTTTTGCGACATTTTAGTTTTTTCTGTAACTCTTACACCTTAAGTCCTGTATAAAAATATTAAATTCAATTTTAAGGAAGATAAAATTTCCTACAATTGTATAAAACAGTTTTTTCGAAACCAATTATCAAGTGAGCTAAAGTTTTCAAAAGAACGCAATTTTTCATTTCTCCAAAATGTGAGCAAAAATACACATGCTTGTGATATTATACTCAACCAATAATAAATATACTTATTATTTGAAGTAATACTATTATTTATCTTATTTTCGGTGTAAACATTCCCTTACAAATTTATCTATTATCTAAAATATTAATTTTCAGATAAAAATGATGGGTGTATATGTGAGCGTTCGTATTCCAACTTAACTCTTCAAATCTCTAGCAACGCTATTTCAACAAAACTTGAAATACATTATTGCTTGCGAACTACAATGTGGAAATGAATACTATGGGTGTAAGACACCTCTATAAGGGGGAACGGGAAGGGAGTGATATTAAAAAAAATCTTTATAGGATAGTAAATGTCGCTTGTGGTCCGTGGCTCATTTGTTAGAGTACTCCTCCGAAATTCGCGTGTTGTCGATTGAAGAAACGACAGAAAACTACCGACCAAAGAAGCCAACTTCTAGACATCTCGTCTAGATAGCGACTGAATTTGACCTAGGTAGCTACTAGTGTCGAAAATCCTGCCGCACGTGGAGTCCCTAACCCTAGAACCCCCCGGTCAGAGGCACAGCAATGACATGAATTGATGCCCCAAGCCCCCTAAGCCGGCACCTGTTAATCAATTTTTCGATTTCAATGGTCCACAAAACAAGTAATCTGACTGCACGTGCTAGAGGAAATAATTTAATATTTATAGGAACAAAAGTTATCCTCTTGTTCGTTACCAGGGCCCGGAGTTGTTCTGTCGAAAATTCGCCTGTTTGCGGTGCATCTGTATCTGCTTATAAAGTTAAGACGAGAAAGTAAAATGTCAAGTTCGTGGACAGGGTAACCTTCGCACGAAACTGCACCCAGAGCAACCGACGCAAAATTTTGAAGTTAAAGTAGTACAAATTTCTCCAGGATGGCGGTCCGACACTGGTTACCCGGCTCATAAGAGTCTTTTGGAAAAGTCGCTTGACAGTTATTGCGATAAATAGAGATATATTAATTCCCATTTTCAGTACTAAAGCGATAAAATTAGCCATGAAATGATATAAATCAGCAAATTTTCAATTGATCAACTGAGAGAAAATTAAATATTTTGAACCATGCTGTTCCGCCCTCTAGGCGCATTTGGATATGGTAATTAATTAAAATATCGAATCTGCTGACAAAATTGTAATCTTTACTTTTATTTAAACCAATTCATCATCGATTCAAACCTTTTCATTTCAATAATACATTAAGAAATTGAACACACTCATCACATTCAAAGAGCAATAGTACTCAGCAGTAATGTCTGCTATGAAAAACATTTTCCTTTCTTTTGTTTTACGCTATTTCTGATTTTAAGGAAAATACAAACAGATTTCATAAAATTATCTGGAAGTTAAAATGACAGAATGTGAAAGCTCAAAGTATAGGTAATATAAAAGCAGAGCATAAATTTACACACATTTTCACTGAACATTGTAAGATATAAATATAAGAGATTACATTCATTATCCATGCATAAATTGTACATAAGTAATTTTTAAAAACACCCAATGAATATTTGTATTTGTATTAATTTAAAAATAAAAATAAAATAAATACTATTGCAATCTTTCAAAATTGGTAAATGATTTTGAAAGTAAGACAACTGCAGGAAGACTACATGAAAAATAATTTAAAACCCACAAATTAATCATTTCAAAAAACCATGCATTATTTAAAAAAAAGTATATGAAAATTGAAATTAAAATATAACCAGCCATAAATGCTAAAAATTAATTATCCCCCAATGAAGTAAATGCTGCAAAACAATAAATAAATTATCAAGAACATATAATTTGAAATAATCCACAAGGCACATGCACATATCACAAATTGGAAGTCAACTTTCCCATTAAATACTATAATTCTAAACGCACATAAAAGGCATCAAAATATCAAATACATCTAGATTTAGAAAAGTGCTTAAACATAAGTTAATAAAAAACCAATACCAATTATTTTATACCTTATATTTATTTTTATCATATTTACTACATGTCTCTCCCTTGATGTTATTGGGATAACTGACACAAAATACCAACTCCACGCATTATCCAATGCTTTGCGGGAACATTAGTTGGTAAGAGAACAGCTACGACAAAGTTGGTAGAATGTCCTGTTGTAGATAAGACACCACGGCGTTCCGATGTCTTGTAGACAGGGCATAAGTAATTACCCTCTACAACTAGTTTTTCTTTTGTAAGTGGAATGAACCATATCTTGAAACAAAAAAAATTAATGATACACTAATCATAAAATTCATGAAAATTCTTACAGAGATGAAACTTACAATGGGTACAATGCTGAAAAGCACTTTTGGTAAGGCTTCATCAAGGTAATGTATATCATGATTCCAGCGAGCACCCTCCAGAAAAAGCCCATTAACGTATACACCATCTATAGGAGGCTTGGCATATGATGTTTCTTGCATTATCTAAAAAAAATTAAAAATCATGAGGAAAGAATAGAACTTCTTTCAAGACGAATTGTAGATGTTTCTGCAATACATCTTATTGTAAGTGAATTACCTAATGTTATTTGTAAACATATAGGAAAGTACCAGTGGCGGCCAGTGCAGGATTCTTAAGAAACGGAAAGACGTCATGCCAATACGAGTATTAAATTCGTTACATTTGCGGTATCGTTACTGGTACAAGAACTCTGCTAGTAGCACTTAAGGCTAGATCTAACCTTAAGGCTAGAACTGATCTAGCACTTAAATCAATGCGATATTCGTTTTACCAAAAAGTGTTAACTTTATCGAACTATCAAAATGTCCCCGTGATTTTTCGGGCCTCTGGGTTTCATAGCCTAAATTTTTAATATCACTGAAAAAAATTAACAACTGTAGAAAAGTGAGCTGGTGGTTTTCACACGAAACATGTGCAACACAGCTTTATCACACGAAACATGTGAAGAGAGTACAAGAAGAATACACTTTTTCTAGGCAAGTCCTCGGTACTGACTGAATATCAAATTAGTTACTTCACTGTTCGTCGTCTTGAGTATGCAAAAACGAGAAACGTATCAATTCGATTTGCTCTTTCACCAGGGTTTCCGCCAGTAGACGGTGCGTGAGATATTAGAAAGTGTATTCCAATACACGACATTCTACAGGAGGATCTCCTCCCATGCTGTATAGCTGGTTTAAGAGACAGAAGAATTCCTTCTCTAAGCTATTTCGAGTTTTGGCGTCGTCTAAAAAGCCCGCGCAATTTAAAAACCCGATCAAAGACAATTTCTGATAACTATGAACTAAAAAATATACATTTTCGCTCTTACATCAAAGAAAATATTGTATTTGCAAATTACACTCAAAAGAAAATATCTGAGGAGGGCATTCCTACCTTCCTTCCCCCTTAGAAACCGCCACTGGAAAGAACAGTTCTACAAGAGTAAAACAAATTCAGTTCAGATACACTAAATATGTAATACTACTCAAATGCTATATTTTTTGAACATTTATTGCATTTTTTAATAAACTGAATATAAATCAATTTCTGTATTTCAAATATTACAATGTCAAATTTGGGTATTCATTTTCAAGCTAATGATTTTTATTCTACCATTAAAAAATTATCATAGAATCGTAGACCTATCAAAATTAAAAGTTCAAACACAGAACATTGCTTTTGGTAACTAAAGAAATTAAATATTTTTATTACTTATAGATTATATGATATAGAATAACACAAAACAAAAACAACTATCACCTTTCTTTGCAATTTTAATTACCTTATTTCAAACAATTCAATACTTCATTCTCTTTTTAAAGAACTCCAAATAATCACTCAAAATATAATTAAAACATAATCAACAAAAAGAAACATTAAAAAACTTGAACAAAACTAATACTTTCCTTGTTTCACATAACAATAAATATTAAGACAGCTTATAAATTACTGTTTAAATGACATCATACCTTATACTCAAATGTTAGTAGATCTATAGGTATTTTATATTTTCGGGCAAAATTTTGTTGCGCACCAGTGAGAAATGCTTGAGTGAAATAAAATCCTGATATCCAAAATATGTTAGGTGCCCCATCTTCAAACCATTTCTAGAAGAAAATATAATGAGTATTTACACAGATTCCAATATTAGTCAACTATGAGACTAAAAGAGGCAAAATAATAAAATGTTCAATTTATTTGAAGTTATCATACCTGAAGGAACTTTAATCTTTCCAAGAAATCAAATACATAACTTCCTAATGGTTTGAGAGATGGATACGACTTTCCCATCCATAGAGCTGGAATTCTTCCTGTTAAAATGCTTGAAAAGACTTCATCAAGTTCAAAGGACATTACAATCTTCCCTGCAAAATTAGTAAGAGTGTTAACATATTAAACTAATGGAAAAATAGGAATGTTGGAGATTTTTAGAGAATTTCTTTTCTACCTCTTATTGCCAGCTGAACATTGATTAAGCTTATTCGAATACATGATAGGAGGTTGTTAAATCGACCCATTTCTTGAAGAAGAACAGTATTCATAGACTGTTCATATCGAGTGGGATATTTTCTTGCAGCATCATCCAAGTTATAATTCTTTGGTAGTTTTATAAGAATGTCTTCAGAGACTTGCAATACTGTTTCATCAGGAGTTTTACCACCTTCCTCAGTTTGTGCTTTACCCTGCAAAATTAAATGTTATCACAATTCTGTTGTATATATGATATGATATACTTTCCATTGGCCTTGCTGTAAAAGTCATACAGGAATAAGGAGGCGAATAAGTCTGAGGTTTATAAGCGATCACAAAAAATATCACCAACAAAACAACGCCAATAAATGAACAGAAAATAAAAGTGCATCTGAAATATTAAAGTATATATGTAACAAAGAAAAAAGATATTGTAAAATTGAGAAGCTGGTACGTTTTTACCAATTTATGATAGAAATGAAAATGCGATGAAGCTAGGTTTCTAACACTTTTTTGATGATATTTTTTCTTTGGTTAATATATTGATAAATGATTTTTTTAATTAAAACTAAGTTTATTCATATGAAATATATGGATGAAATTAAGCTGTAATTAATATTTATTTTTCATACTGCAAACAGTTTATAATAAAAAGTTTTTAAAATTATCATTAAACATGTAAAGACAAACTGTAATAAAAGAAATGATAGATTAGGCAACAAAAAAACGAATACAAATTAATCAAAACATTAATTATAATTAGCTGCAGCCAAAACATTATTATTAATGTCAATAAGTACCAATTAGTTTTTATCTAAGCCTTAGTTAAACTTGCAAATAACTTGTATTTACAATAGCACATACTTCCTCGTATTTTGAAAGTAGTAACCTATTAAATATAGTGTAAACTTAGCCCCCACTTAAATCGAAAATCCGAAAAAAGACTAATATTTTGAAGAAAATGTACGTGAAATAAGTTAAATACCTAATATTGAGGAATATATTGTATTAATCTCCTACTTTAATATTAAGGCGCAGGACAGGTTCCAATTTTTTTTTAACTTTTGCAATTCTCGGTTTTTCAGAATGTATTGAAAATACAACTTATACCACAAAGCGAACTTAATTCACGCAAAATAATTTGAAGTTTTTATTGAAAAAAAAACTGTATACATATTTTTAAACGTCTCTTTTCCTATCAACAGAATGCAAAACATTTTTTCAAAAAATTGTACATGATGATATTGGAAGATCTAATTTTAAGAACACGTTTTATTAAAAAATCTATAGTTTCAATAATGTAGTGGTAGAAAAACGAAAAAAAAATAATTTTGCAATTTTCAAAATTTAAGGAATTTTCCTGCAAATTAAACATGCATCATTTCTATAAATGTACTTTTCTCTATTCGAACAAAACAAATAAAGAAAACAATTGAAGACACTTTTGAGATAAGTTGAAATAATTCATGGGAACTTCATTTAAAACACCATAATTTAAATCATATAATTCAAATTCGATTGCCCGCGGCATTAGTGTGGTCGTTTGAGAAAGTCAGTTTTAGAGAAAACCCTGTATACAGTTTTCCTGCAGATTCTCATACAAAAAGTGCAAAGATATTTTGAGATCCCAAACAGGTAGTATAAAAGTTAAAAGTCGTGTTTACAAGATCTGCCCGTTTTCTGCAAGTTTTCTGTACGAGTTGCCACGAGATACCGCCAGGCACTCAGCCTGCACTCGAAAATGAATTGTCGAATTTGCTCCGTCATGCATTGGCGACATTTGTGTTCATGCTTTCTGAGCTACTTTGATAAAACTTTTTTTAAGTATTAATGAAATATGGGAAGAAAAAACTTTGAAGGCCGACATTGTTGTCTCAAAAAGCTGGTGACTGTGGCTGCGAAGGCTTCCGAAAGTGTACAGAAAAAACGCTCCGAACGGAGGATTTCTTGGCTGTAGAAGTTAGGTTCAGTAACCTTATATTTGCAAGAAGCAATAAAATAAATTCTCCAGAAAATCCGATAGTTTGAATTCGCCACGCCAATACACAAAATCTCATGAATCGCACGCAACCCAACCCAAAAATTGAAAAAAATAAAAACGATTTAAGACGAAAGCAAATCCGTGAATTCTGCCGCTAGAGTCAAACTGTGACATAGATGGACTAACAGTCGGACGGACGGACGGGTAGACAGACAAATGGACAGAAATATTGATGAACTCTTAAAAAAACTTCTTCGGTATCCGAGAACTTCAAAACGTGTATTTTCTTTAAAGTATTGTCATCGATTTTCCGACGTATTTCATAATTTTATCTTATATTTTTACCGTATTTACCTACGTATAAGAGAAAAAAAATAAAATGACCAAAAGCGAAAGCTGGTAGAGAACTGTGTAGGTCAGCGGCAATTCTATAGATGATATGGTGCCTCCATTAGTAGAAAATCACGGACCTCCAGAATGTTGATAAGAACTTACTCTGATGAAATTGGTGAGTTGACAAGAAGGCATGGACGATGTCAGTTATTGAAAAATGGTTAAAATAATTTAATTCAAAAATTTTAAAGCAAAATAGAAATGTAATTCTTCTTTTTTTATCTTCTTGGCAAAGCACCCTGTTGTTTAGAAATCCAACTTTCTAATATCAAATTTCCTGTATTCAACATCTAATATAACCTCATACCATTAATCTCTAGATTAAGTAATTAAGATAATTAAGGATATATTCTTATTACATTATTATTAACAAAAAAGGTTTTCCGGAACCTCATAACAATCATTAAGTTGTCATTTGTATTAATGTCAATTTCCTCCAAAACCGTAAGTGACCGCTTAAAACTGGTTTTCCTGTTCCAAAAATGGCACGGAGTTCGGGTTCCAATGGAATCAATCACTGTTCTAATTTTTATATGATGATTTTAAATAATAAAAAAGGCTTTGTCACTACCACACTTTGGTCTCATTGGTTTCTTATTGTAAGAAGCATTATCATGCAATATGGATGACCTCCATTAGAATTGTAAACGTTGAAATTCACTGATGGACTAATCAATAATATTCAGTGGATAGCGACAGACCGTACTTTACTTACCAGTAAAAGTAAATCCTAAGTAGCATGGAAATAAATGTATTAACACAGAATGAATGCAATATTTATTAAAAACTAATCTCAAAAAATGAATTTATTCACAAGAAAAAACTATAGATAAAACGATTCTTACCATTTGTACTAAATCCTATGAAGCATTGATAAATAAAAAAACAATTACAACAAATATGAGCAAGATTAAATGACTGATTCTAATAGAAATACTTGTCGTAATTTGAATCTTATTGTGTGAAAATTAGAGAAAGTTTCAAAGAAAATTATGTCAGTTACATCAGTTGATGCTCTGACCCACTTTTGACAGTCAAGTGAAAGGAGTATTATAAAAAAATCTTTCAAATGGGGAAACCAAAATTGTTTTGTCCATTTCTCAAAGATATTACCTCATCGATATTATCAATTTAAAAACTCAAGAGTTCAATAACTGATAATGGATAATAGGGATATGAATTTGCTTTACCAAGAATAATTTACGTGTTTTCTCAGTAGTACTGTCAATTCTTTCCTTTTTTAGATACTTACAGTACGATCCTAAGCAGCATCCAGTATAAAATAAACACATTTTTAATAATAATTTAATTGTGAACAACATAATTAATTCTAGTAATGTTAATTTCAATCTTAATATTAAGCTTGAACTTATTATTGTCATACCTGTGTCAGCAAGACACTGTTAAATAGTAAGTCAGTTTCTTGTTGGTCTTTCATTATATCAGCATTTTCATTCATCCCAAATACCTCTGGATGTGTTACAAGAGACATAGAGCGAATAAAGTCAAGATAATTTTCATGCTCTTTCCCATAATAAGCATAGTAAGTCCCTGTGAAAGAAATATACTAGCAAATTATCAGTTCATGATACAAATGGTTCTTCTAGAACGTTAGCACGTGTGAAAAACTAATGAAATAATGATTACTTAATGTATATAAAATTATGGGAGGTCCGAGGCTGGCAACCACTAACAAGCTAGTTCGAGGTTCATCACTTCCTCAATAAGAATTCTAGAAGTCATCCGCTCGGTTTGCATGTTGACATGATTTTCTTCAATCAACAAAAGGCGCATTCCGGAGCTATGCCCCACAAATGAACCACGAACCGCGCGCGAGCTTTCCTTCATCATTCTTGTCCTCTCTTTTTCCCTCAATCGCACACATTTATATGCACTACACAATCGCACACGTCAGGAGACCAGTCGGGAGCTTGGAGCTTTTTCTCGGCTGGGTTGGTGCTCCGCTGGGGGTCAAGTGTAAAAGGGCCCCGGATACGGGTAAGGTCCCGGTAAAGGGACATGTGTTTGCCGCCAGTTGGCGTGGAAATAGGTGCCGAATCACACGTTCCAGCAAGGGAGGAACACCGCCACCTCCCGGAGTATGACATGCACTACATTTACGGGACCTATGAGTCCAGTTGGTGCGTCCAGAAACGCTAAATACTCACACGCGCCCATCAATTCTACTTGCTCTACTTCGCGAAAAGCATTTTGAATGATGACGGCTACTAGTAATAAGCTAGTAACGTGCTTATAACTGCTGAATGGTTCGAGTTCTAAAGCAGTCGAAACGATTTGAGAAACTATCGCAAACATGTAACTTTTCTATATGAATCTTGACCCTATACCCGTTTCTAAGATCGGTCCCAACTCCACAAGACCCCCCTCCTCGTGATCTGACTCCGACAAAATGGCAATTACGAAGTAGAGAAACCCAAACCAAAGACACCCCTCAAACTCGTTAATCATCCTTTAAGAAGCCTAATAAATTAAATTTGAATAAAAAATAGAGGCGAGAAAATCGGTGTTTCCGAACGTCAAATCTTACTCAAGATACAACAAATAGCGAATCCCTTATTAGTCACACACTTGCTCGCATCCCTTAACAGTCACGCGCCAATTCGGTGAAGGGTGAACTGGAGGTGAACCCACCGAATTTTCCCCCCCATCTTTGTTTATGTATAGAGTTTGACCGTTTATGACTTTTATTATTAAAATCTTCCTTAAGCCTACGCGAGAGTTACGTCTTTCTTTTATAGGATGTTCACAAAAAAGTTCGATATCATTGCCATGCGTAATCGCTTCGAGAAAATTCGGACCATGGTGGAAAGAGATGGAAGGGCTCCTCTGGTGCATTGATTTTTGCTCGTTTCGCGCACCACTAGTTTGCGCCGTGAACCACGTGACCACAACACCTGCACTTCGTTTGAAAAGCCAGACCAGACGTTGGCCGCCATGTTGCATTGAGAGCGAGAAATACTGAGTAACAATTTAATGTGGCATAAAGGGACAATTTACAGCGGTGACCAACCCAAAATAACACGAAGATCTAACAGAAATATAAGATGCAATATTTTCAAAAAAGTGCTTGATATATGTGTTTTAATAAAAAAAACAAGGTAATAATTTTGGCATTTAAATTTTTTGCTAATATTGTGACGCAAACTGGTGCCTGAAGGTAATTGACTGAAGTCGGATACTCTTATCTTCCCATCTTGATTTAGATGTTCTCTTACAGTCAAGTCTCAAATCACGTTGCATCTTATTGTAGTATTTGATGATGAATAGAACAGTTGTGCCATCAGATCAACACAGTGAATGATAAATTACTTCTTCCAAAATGGGGCGTGTCTATCTGTACCCCTGCGAGCAGGACCACAAAGACAGAAAATAATTAAAATGTATGTGCACTTGTAAAAGTTCAAAAACTGAAAAAATTTTGACACATACTTGTAGAAAACGATTGTATATTATATTTCAAAATACATATTACATTAGTTCTTAAATATAAAAATTCTTTAGTTATTTGGTAATTTATTCTGCGGGGGTGCCATTGACCGATCGCGGTTTTCAGAGTTAGAGTGACATTGGTATGCAACTGTTAATTTCTACTTTTCCTATAAACTACACTCTTTATGCATAAACAATATTTATTCATAATCCTATTTCATATATGATTATATTTATTTACCTGTGGGATCAAATGGATAAAATTTCAGATTGACAAGATCTTCACAGTAAAACTTATTGAGGATAGTTATCAACGTTCGACGATCCCAGTCATCTGTCACTCGTCCGCCATAGTTGCACTCACCAGTTAAATAGCGTAGAGCATCGAACTGCACCTCCTAAAATGCATTTAAATTTAATATAAACTTCACACTAAATGAAAAGATTATATCATAAAAATAGTTTTTCTAGGATCCCATTTTATTTTAGGCATTTTTTAAAATTTAAATTGACGAAGTACACAAAGACACATCACAAACTTAATGTGCTATTTTGTCCGTTAGGACAATATTCCATTGTCATCGTCAGGTACTGTAAAATTATAAAGCAAACATTATTTGTTGTTTTACATAGGTTATCAAAAATAACATTAAGCTTCAGAGTTTAGATCTTTATTCTATTTATGGTCTGTAAGGAAAAGTTGAGTTTAAGGAGAGAACGAATGAAATATGGACGTCATCATTCTCAACTTGAATTTGTAAATTATTGAAATTTATTCATTCTTGAAGTTCTAAATTCAAGTTGGCAAAGATAACGTCCCTTATTTCATCCATGAATAATGTCAACAGCACCACATCAGCATTTCTGCAGTTGGTAGAGGATGTTGATAGGAAGTAAGGAAGGAATTGATTTTTAAACAAAAAGTTATGTGAATTACATATAAACAAATAAAAATAATAAAAATCTTACGTTGGGATAATCATTAAGAAACATCTGTAATTGCTGAGTACTTATTCGTAAATCAGTTTCGTTAAATTCGTATGGTATATTCCAACCAATAGGTCCAAATTTTCGCCTTTCTTGAATTAAACCATGAAAAAATGCCAGTGCAAAGAGTAGCTTCTTAAAAAATATGGGTTGCTTACATCCCTCAAAGAACCCAGGATCGCAAATAGGATCACTTAAATATGACCTGCAAAATAATTAGCCCAATCAATGAACCGCATAGCGCGAAAAGTGTATTCTTAATTTCAAACACATTACGAATACAAGTAACACGGTAAATACAAACCTCAGGATGTTGGCTCTGAGACCTTTCGGAGGTTCATTCACCATTTTTACTCCGTTTTGGAGAACCGTGACTGGGAAGAACGAAGAAGGGTATGAAGTCAACCACAAACGAAAATCCGGATGTGTGTTTTCAGGCGTAAATCCTTCGCACATCTGTTGTTCCAAGAAGAGAAATATTTTAGGACTCTCACTATTTAATAAACAATTTCATAAAGAAAAACTTCCAATACATCTCATTACCCTTTCTAACGCAGGCATAAAACTTTTTGCCAAGTGACAATTCTGTAATACAACCCATGTCCCGCCTTTCACGCCCTCTTGAACTAATTTTTGAGCAATAGGTCCTTGTCCTTGCCCTAAAGAAAGGGAAAACAATCGATTGGCTCCAAAACCCTGAAAAATAAAACCACAAAGTAATTGTATAACTTTATAAGTGAAAATTTAATTTTAATGTTTTTATTTCTTATTTTACCTGATCGTCAGCAAATTTGAGTAATAATGCTGTAGGATCGGCTCCAGGAGTTAGAATAAAAATTAGTGGAATGGCAGAGTAAGAATCGGCGAACGAGGAGGTAAGATCAAATGGCGGTGGTTCTATATATTTCTTGCCCATCTGTCCTGAAACACCATATATTTTTATTGGTAGTATTATTACTTCGCGCACGTGAAAGTAACAGAATATTGAATTTTTCTTTCAATGAAATAAATATGTTGGAATAGAATGTTCATAGTTATACATAAATCTGAAACGAAACTTTAAAATATCTGCAAACTTTTGAAATGTGATTGAGTGAGTTAATGATAGATATGGATTCATTCATTCCTATCTACATAACCCACGGCTCCTCTTCCAGGTGAACTATCTCCGAATCTTCATTTTATCAACTGAGCTATCAATTATTAATCAACTGAGCTAATTGCCCAAGACAACTGCACGGCACTTGCAATGCATTTTCAATGCCCCTTTGGTACAGACTCTCCAAAAAACTATCTTAAAAAATCGCAATAATTACTCATTTTTCGAACAAATTCTACATAAAGTTATATGATATTTAAAGATATAATATATTGCATTAAGAAAAACATTTCTAGCATAAATGTAAATGTTTCAATATCGAAGAGGTAGTTCAGATTCAAAAGAAATTGAACTTTTGCATTTTTCGAAATTGCAGAGATTTTAATGCAAATCGAACCTACGCTCTATTATTAAGCAAACTTTGTTTTACACGAGCAAACATTTAACAAATAGCCGTTGTAGAATTGTAGGCGTTATTACGAAAAAACTTATTTACCTTTTTTAATTGTCACAATGACGCTTCGCTGCGCTTGCGAGAATTGGCGATGAAGATCAGGCCTGCATTACGATTTTCATTATTTAACTTTCAGTCTGAGCAAGGCACAATTTCCAACAAACCTTTATGCCGAAATATTTATTGCGATCACAAAAGACGTCTCATACTCGACCAATCGCTATACTTTAGTCAGCGAAATGATCCCTTTTCGTTGATATTCATACAGATTTATCCACATCATTTGGTTAATGTTTGTTTTAACAGGGCACTCTTAACACAAACAATATTTAGCCCAACATGTACGACTACATTATTTTCTGAACAATTTAACATATGAGGTTAATCTAATTGGGATCCTGCCATTTTTTTAAGTTGGATATCTTTTGGTTGGTGGTGGTGCAGTAGAGTTACGAGAGGAATTATGTTTTGTTTGTCATCCTGGGGATATGGTTTCTTAATTCTTGGGAAGCGTGACATTTTTCATAGGGGTTGCATTTGGTGCCGCAGGGAGACGTACTAAGTTACAGGAAGTTCAAGGTCTAGCGACCACTAGACTACAGACTGAATTATCATACTATAGTTTGGTCGAATTGAACTGCATCCCCGCACCCTTCTACAATTAAACTACTTGGTTGGTGGCAGGGGGGGGCGCAGTCTAGCTGTTTAGTTGGTGGTGGGTGCCAGACGTCCGATAGTTATTTGTAAGACGGCTTTGATTGAACTCTTTGTTTGCGACAGAAATGTTTCCTAGAAGAGCTGCTATTACCTATACTATAAATAAGAGGAGAAAAAGAATTATTAATCAAAGAATCCGAGAATATTTGGTACAGCAAATATTCAGTGATATATTATTCAGAAGGACGTTTTACCACTGCGTTCTAAACTACTAGTGTCAAACGCAGTTCTCTCCTGCGCCAGGGCGCGCGAGGAGATTCGTCGGGCCCCCATCTTATGCGAGTTCACCTATGCTGATTTATAGAAAAAAACAGATTTATCCATTTTTCCGTTACCGGGGCACGGCAAGGAAAGTTTTTCTGACGAAATTTTGCCGTTTTCTGGCGCACGATTACAATACTTTCTCTTCTTACGAAGTAAGGGCGATAAAGTAAAAACGGGTACCATTCTGTTTTCTTCTTAATGAGATAAGAAACTTTTTGAAATAATATCCAAGTCAATAACATTAATACTTATGTAGCTTGATGAGATATAATTGCTTTCATTAGATTTTCTTTCCATATATGACCTTATTAACCAAATAAACAAGGAAAAGACAACCACATTTTAAGTGTGATACGTATAGTACATGTCTTTCAGATGAGATCACAGCTATCGTTTGGACATTTAAAAATAAATTCTCTTTAACATTCCATTGTCGAAACCTCAAATGACTGCGAATGTAATTTTCTATCTTTCGCTCAACATGTTAAAACACTAGGAACTCCTCCTATGAGAGGAGAGCAGCGCCCGTCCCTCTCAGCGGGGCTTTATAAGCGGCGCGGCGCGCCAGAGCAGACAGTCGAAGTTGGAGCCGGGGTCGGAGCTCTTGGAGTGCACCTGCCCTCAGAAGAAGAAACTACCTCACGACGCTGGCTTCTACCCGGAACTTGGTCCACGGCCACTGCATTGCCTTGCGCTTACGACGACCCAGTTCGGATACATCTTCTGGAGGACGAAAGCTGGCTTTGTAATTTTGCAATGTGATTTTGGCACAATGAATAGTTGTTTTTTTTGATATTTACATTTTTTCATTTAGTACACAACGTTATTATTATTATTATTATTATTATTATTATTATTATTATTATTTATTATTATTCATTTATCCCTATACATGTAATACGTTATAGAAAGATGTATTTTTTCCTTTTAAAAGAAACCATTGACACAAAACCCCGTAAGTGTATTACTGATTTATGGGGAATTACCCTCCAAGGGTGCATCAATCAGATTTAGGACTAAAAACATAGAAGTTCTCAGATTTTGGCTTCTTTTAATTACCAGACACATATGCGCAAGCCACAAAACAGAGTACACTAGGGCGGAAAGGGGAGAGGATAAATAACTGAACACGATGGACATCCGGAAGATTCATTTGCGTGGTCGGGAATGGGTAAAACTGTCAAAAACAAAACAGCCAAAAGCGCAACGTCATTGGCCGTCAGCGGGGGGGGGGAGGGTCTACGCATGGCTGTCTACGCGTGGCTAGTGAGGAGCGACGGCCCGTCTCCAGGTGTCGAAGGCGGAGCCCTTCATTTCTGTTAAGGTACGCGAGCCTCTAGGAGATTTCCAAGGCCTCTTTGATCAATCGACGCCACCACCTTCTCCTGCTGATATTGTACGGGTCTCGTGCTAATTAACGAAACGACTCGTTTCTGCGGCGTGTTGGGCCAAAGCCGACTTGTGGATGTGTTGTATCCGGTCATGTATCCGCATGTGTTCACGCATCCGCTCTCCTGCCGTACGCCCGGTTTGGCCGACACTGCACGAGATTGCACACGACGCGCCTCTTGAAGAGGGTCCGGACCACAGTCCTCGTTGCTCGAACAGGCTCGCTTTTGGAGCTTCTCGGGCAGTATCAGCAATTGAGTTTTCCAGATAAGAGGCCAGCTCTAACGCGAAGTGCAGCCGGTCGCTCACTTGCCGCAGCCCATGTTACACGACCACACTCCAAAGTTTAACGTTAATTATTTACAAAACTAAACGACGAAGAGTGTCCAATTTTTGTAAATTCAGTCTATTCATTACATATACGATAAGGTCCCAGCAACGAGGCCTGATTCACCCTGTATATCTCCAGGATAAGGTTCCCGCCAATCTTGTTTCATGCGTAAAACACGGAGCAGATATCAGCTCTGTGCAGCAGTCTACCGATCTTCTCCGTGACCCCTTCGATGTAGAGCAGGCCTGCACAGCATTTTGCACTTTAACTGACCTCGAGAGCCGCGCGCGAGCAATTAAGAGTGCAAACCCAGGCCGCGTGGATTAGTGGGAATAAGAGAGGGACCACCAATGAGAACGCACAATTCGAACCTTAGCGGGTAAATTGAAAGAGCAATTGCCAAAACGAACGGACTATTCCAAAATAAACGATAATGATACTTCAACTGTATGCAATTGAAGTATCATTATCTTTTATTTTCGAAATGTTTGTTGTCGATGTATGACAGTGTGAAGTATCAACCTACAATAAATTAGACATATTTGATTTGAATATCAGTATTTTAATTGCTTGTAGGGCTAATAATGTAATTTGCTTTGCTGCAATGTAATAGCAAATTTAGCGTGCTTCATAAAAAATTGTAATATTGATTCGTTTTTCATTGATGATGAGAGTAATTAATTATTTTTTCATTAACTATGTTTAATTAATGACAGTTCTATCAAAGCTAAAAAAAATATTTTAAAAAATCATGATTACTTTCAACTCTAATTTCCGACAATAGTACGTAATATATTTCTAATTTCAAATCAGCGAAGACTACGTATTCATAATCGTTTACATTGATTAAAAAAAAGATTATGCCCCTTGAGTTCTATTTAACAAGACTCATATTAATGTTATGATTGCCCATAAAATATCAAAAGAAGTTTTCTCGTTGGTATCTCTTATTCAATTTCATAAAGAGGAAAATTGATCGCAGATATATGGGCTGCCACACACTTCGAGTTGTCTATACTTTATTTCTATATCAATCTCACGCGAGAGACTACTCTCAATTTCCTCCGTTTTTCTATTATTTTAACATTCCTAGTGTAAAATAATTTATTAAACTCTAACTTTTTGTTACTTAATACATTTTTAAGAGATTCCAGTGCTTTAATAAATAGTCAGTTGAAATGAGCACAAATGAAACAAAAATAAAAAAATATGGCAATACATAGCAGTACACAGAAGACCATAAACAGTGAAATATGACTTAAATAAGTAGGCAAATCATTTCACAGCATGGATCATTCACAATAGACACCTAGGCATTCAATTTACGCGCCGCGTCGACCCCGCTCGGACTTCTACCCTCCCCCAAAGCTGCCTCCTCCCTTCTACTTGCACTTTCCGAGCTCTCGGGGGCAGACGGTCGGCTCGTAAGCTCGTAACGATGGTACACAGAGAGGTGACATCAAAGCTGACCAGGATATCGTCTGGGAGTATTCCAGTGGAGCGGATTCCACATCATGATGGCCGAAATGTCAATTCGACCGACTGTGACGCGGCTCGTCCCTGACAATCAAGTACTACCAAATGACTCAAGCCGCGGAAGCTAACGAATCCATAGTTTCAAGCTCCAGCACCAACTACAAGGTCGGATAATTCGTAGGTGGAGTTGTTGTTGTTGTTATTATTATTATTATTATTATTATTATTATTATTATTATTATTATTATTATTATTATTATCATTATTGCAAACTAGCAGTTGTAAAACTACTTCCGTAGACATGTTGTGAAGTAGTGGTTTTGTAATAGTTACAAGACGCCCGTACTTCCTCAGTCACATACGCCCGAGTAGAAAAGAAGGTTAGACAGCGCTTCATTACTAAATTAGACTAGTACTAGGCTATATGCGTATTCCGAAAAATAGTTTCTTTTTTATAAAATGAGCATAACCAGTTTCAATAAGCTTATTAATTTATTGGGTGACATCAGTTGTTTTTTCCACAGTTCCAATGGAAAGCTGATAGTCTCATTGCGTAAATAACACCATGAAAAAAAGTCCCCGATCTGACTCTCGAAGAAATGAATGGGATCTCACCGAGCCGGTGAGTCTACACGTTTGCACACGCATGGTGCGTCATATAGTTCAAGCAGTCGGCCAATATTTGGCAAATTATATCGTTTGAAGGAAATCGTAAAGTTCATTAACCTTTATTATCAGCTGATTTCAAATGCTTTGAGTATGTTCACTTGTATCTGTACCTCCGTGCTAAAACAACGATGAAACGACTGTAGTGTAGCTGGGACTAATTATTTTACGAATGATACCATGGAATGAATGCCAAGATAGCGAAGTTGGATGTTTGAAAGCGATTGGGATTAGTATGGAATACTCTAAATGATACTGGAGAGTGATTTATAGGAGTCAAATGATAATTTTGCAATAAAATAGAATGGTGTTTGTGAGTTTTAATTAATGTTCTTTTGAGAAATGGGAAGGCTATAGTCCGATCGCTTTTTCTTAAGCTTTATTTACAACAGTGTTGATGTGATGAAATAATGAAGAACTAGTGATCTGATACCCTAACGGTAATTTCTAGTAACTATGTTAGATTTGCGCTAACAATGTAAATTGACCGTGGAAGGAACGAACATAATTATCAATCGTTCTGGGGTATATTACATAAGAACATGATAGTGTTTCATCTTTGACAATCTTTATTGCTACAGAGCCCTCTCCAGATGTTTACTAAATTTGAAATATAAATAACACATTTAAAATTACGTACCTTCAACAAAGCAAGCAACACCTGCAACTACTTTGTCGGAACGAATGCAACGCAAGACCAGAAGCCTGGAGAAAGGAGGCACCTTTTTTTCCCATTCTCCAGGGAAGGGAACTAGATGTGGATCAGGACTATCAAACATTTCTCTCCATTTTCCTACATTGGCGGTAAAATGTTCACGAATCCCCTGAAACAATTGTAATAGGCATTTTCATTATATTCAAAACTATTCATTGAATTTAAAGTTATGTTATGTTAAAGAAAGTTATGTTCGTACACCTATCATTACTAAATAATTACTTTCAGTACTTAGTTAATTGTAGTAACTTTTCCACTTAAACATTCACAGAAATAAGTATTTCAACTGGTTGCATAGTGTTATTAATTTCTTTTGATACGTGAAATTTGGTTTAATTACGTTTATTGCCAAATTGAACTAGAAAAAATTGTCTGAAATACAAATATAAATGATTATTATAAATGTATCAAATTGTGAAAACCTCACCTCAAACTCACCTTACCTCAAACCTCGAACAAATTTAATTAAGTATTGTAAGAAGGCTATTTTAGATAATCATGAGTTCAGATTACTGAAAAATTATTTTTTGGAAGAACACATTTCACTCACTTTTAAAGAAATGTAATATTTTCTCAAAGTCTGAATGGGATTTATGAATAGACAGCAAAAATTAACACTTTTTTTTCAAGAAATAATAAAAGTGAAATTTTACTTAAGAAATTGTTCTTTGAGTATCTCTGGGTGAATGATAACTGAAGTTCGGATTTTGATGTCATGTTATCTTTTAATTAGTGTTTTACAGTAATTTCTAACTTGAAAACAAATCCTGGTTATGACCACTGAGTTATTTAAGAACATTTTTATTAGAGGATTGCTTGTCATTTTTTCTGGATACACAAATGTAAATAAAAGGTTTGGATTTTGATCAAATTTTTGAACTGTGATACAATGATATAATTTTCTAATAGTAATATAGTAATATCACTCAAGATTATGGAATCCAAAATTAATAAAGAAATATAAGTTTGCACTACTCAGCTAATTAACATTTTATTGAGCGTAAAATAATGACCACCAGGCTCAGATGAAGTGACAACGTTCACGCATTAGCTCAATTTTTCGGTTCCCTAATATTGGTGATACAACAGCACATATTTTGCGCATTATTTCTAACTTTTGTAATTTTCTGATATTTAGTAATTTAATGAAAATGATACCGGCACATATTTCTAAGTATACTTTGCTCTATCCGAGGAAAAAATTGAAAGAAATAATTTGGAGCTGGTTTTGAGATCAAAAATTTAAATTCCCTTCACTTCTCGTTATTTTACCCAAAACTACTCGTTATTTCGAAATAAATGTGTATGTCATAATACAACAAAAAATATAAATTTCCTTTATTTTAAGAATAAATTACACCAAAACAACTCCTTTGTTTTCAAAAAATGAAAATGGTCTTATATGAAAAACTATTTTACTTTCCAGTATACGTACACTCATTATCTACGTAGTATAGGGAAAATTATGTATTACTGCGGAAAATTTATTTCAAGATTTCAACGGAATTACACGTTTTGGGATCCCCTGATACCGAAAAAGTGTGTTTTTTTAAAACTCCGGTCGGTCTGTCCCTCCGTTTGTTTGCCCTTCTATTAGTCTGTCTGGTGTATGTGCTCAACACTAGCGTTTAAACCATGCGCAAGATTTTTTTTCAAATTAAAGAAACTTCTGTCTATGTGGCCTGAGTCGAAGCTCTGAGATTTTCAAAAACATTTATTAGTTTTTGGGGATACTTTACATGAAGCCCTTGGGACATTTTCAAAATTTTCTCAAAAATGGCTCCCAATATTTTCTTTAAATTTCCTCTAAGAATATAGTAGAAAGGTGGCATAGGTCTAATTTTCAAGGTTACTCTAAATTTTCGAAAATTGCAAGAGTGAATTTTTCGTCCTCTTCCTACAACTACAAAATTGAAGATAGAGATTTTCCCTTCAAATAAAATTGGTTCTCTATATTTAGTTCTTTCATTAAGGTTAAGTACGTTTTTAAACATTTTGGTAGTTTTCACGCAATATTACGAGCAATATGTCCAACTTAAAAAAATTACAAAAACCTGATTTTCTCAAAAACCGCTCCGAATTTTTTCTTCAACCTGTTGGTAGGGAAAGTGCTAAATGCACTCTATAAGACGACATATTTGCAATGCTTCTCTGTTTTTTTTGTTTTAAAAAATACAAAAATGTATTTACTTTACTTGCCTCTCACGTCATTAATATTTATTTTACCGGCATTTTTCTCACATTATTATATTAGTACAAGTGCTTTAAATAATGCCAGATAAAGCGTCTCGAAAACAACCGTTTTCTGTCAAATCGAGGTCAAAATGTCGCATTTCCAGAAACGCTCAAACGCCATTTTCAAAAACGGCTCCAATTTTTTTCTTGAAACTTTTCGAAATTGGTAATTGCACTCTTTAATATGACGTAAAGTTCATTTCGGAGTATTTTTTTGTTTTTTCAAAAATTACACAATGTAATTTTTTGAAAGTTCTCGCCGTTAAAATGCATATTTACAGCAACATGTAAACGCTATTGTATTTGTGAATTAATGTGCTTCAAATGACTTCTGATGAAGTTTTCAAAACGTCAATTGTTTTCTGTGAAAGAGTTTTAAATTTTGCATTTTCAGTTAGCACTTAAACGCCATTTTCTTAAAAGCGGATCCCAATTTTCCCAAGAAAATTTCTATTTAAGACGAGGCTTTACTGTTTTCAATATTCTTAAAATAATATTTCAGTACTACTATAAGAAAACCGAAAAATTGAGAAAAGGTTTTAAAAAATTACTTTCGGTGTCAATGGATGGCTGCTGACAAGAGTATGTAGCAAGACAGAATAGCTAGCTCTCACCAAAGGAAATAGGAAAGTGGTACAAGAAAGTTTTTGCCAATCTCCAGCACCATTTGTTTACCTCCTCGTATATGTATGGAGTAATATACGTAGTATAGAGAAAGTTATGTAATGCTGCGGAAAATCAATTTCGAGATTTCAACAGAAATACCCATCTGAGATCCTCTGATATCGAAAAAGTGTTGTTTTTATCGTTCGTCCGTACATCTGTCTTCTGTGTACAACACTATGCATGCAAAACTATGCATAGGATTTTTTCCAAACTGACTAATCCCCAGTAGATCAGGTCTCACTCAAATTTCTGTGGTTTTCAATTACATTCTTCAGTTCTTTACATGAAACCTCAGGGATATTTTCAAAACTTTTTCAGAAATGGCTCCAAATTTTTCTCTATATTTCTTGCAGAAATCGAGAGAAATGCACTTATGATGGTGTCATAGGACTAATTTTCACTGTTAACTCTCAATTTTCGAAAATTGCAAGTTTGAAATTATTCGGCGCCTTCCTTCTACAACAAAATTGAAGATAAAAGTTTTTGCTTCAAATGAAATTAGTTCTCCGTAAATAATTATTTCATTAATGTCATAGACCTATACATTTTTTTGTTGTTTTCGCACAATTTGGTGGTATTCGCGCAGACGGACAATGTTTTGCAGTCATTCAATTTTTCGGTATCAAGGACCCACAAAACAGGGATTCTGATTACACCACGTGCTAAGAGGATTATTTTCTAAATTTAGCAAGTCGATTTATCCAGTTTTTCGTTACCGGAGCCCTTTACAGGATTTTTCTGCCGATAATTCGCCGTTTTTTCGCGCAGCATTACATAATTTTCTCTTTTGAAGAAGTTCCTTCTAATCTTCTAATTACGAACTCTTAAATACATTTAAAATTGACGCAAAATATAGCTCGAACATTCACTGTGATCAGCTATTGTTTGTTTTCTTACATTTACCAATTACTTATCCTTTAGCGGCTTCTCTTTAGGCAATTTAAATGTTGACATAGGTTTGAGATACAGCAATATTATCGTTCGCAACCAAAAACATTACATGAACCCATTTCAGTAATAAAACAATTTCAACTGATGTACAAGAAATACAATCACTACGTAAGTAGTACATTACGACGACATACCATACTATATTATTTTTTCAATTTTTCACTGATGAATTACTTTTTAAAATAAAATAATCTTCAAAATGATAAAAAAAATTGTTTAACTTTCTTGACATGGTAACCAATTCTAACATAGTTCACCTGCCAAATCTAAAGCGAAAACAAAAGTTTCAAATTTTCGGTAAAAATTGATATATGGCAATAATGAAAGTGCTTCGACACATTCGTATTCACAAAAACGCTTGCAAACTGCTGGCCGGTCAGCTGCAGCCCCATTGGCTTCCGCCAGACACTAAGGAACTTCCACCCAGAATGACCACCCTTTCACAAAGAACTCATCAAATGTACGTTTTGAATCAACAAACCTAATATAAAATGAAAACAAATTGTCCAAATATCATAAACAATGCACTGAATATCGCCAATAATTGACGAAACTTGGGTACTTTCAATAATAAGCGAAATTCATAAAATTACGTTACAGCTAGTCTGACAAAGATAGAATATTGGGATTCCCCTGAGACTCCCTCTGTCACTGCGCAGCGTAGTCAGCGCCACCAGCTGGTTGAGCAACCAAAACGGCCCATGTCACCAGTGTTAAATCAAAGGGCTACAGAGTAAATGCCAATACCTCCTAGATAGTATTATAGAAGATTTAGGTGGCATAAAACTGCAGGACACCCAGTACTACAGCCAAGAACCGAGAGCGTGGTGCAATACCCGACAAGGCACCGGACTACGGAAAGAACGCCAGATGGACGCTCTTTGGTTTAAAAATTATTTAATATACATCAAGCTTGGTGCAATATCTTGAATATTGAATGCTATTAGCAGGAAAATGTATATTCCTAAGATATTATGAGATCTTTTCCGATTATCTGGGGGTTGTGTGAACGTGCAACATAAGCACGAGCCCTCACAGCATTTACTCCCTGCTAAAAATAAGAATAATTATTTTGTACACATTTTCAGGGAGTGAACTACATTTTTTGTTCTAAATTTTGAAAACAAAATACAACTCAATCAAATTTAACCACTACGATTCAAAATGAAAAGTTTAAGAAAGGCAATGAAAATATTAGGTGAAATTTAAGAATAGTTTGCATTTAACTTACCTTAAACATAGCTAGTTCGTCAAGTCTACACAGCTCATCCCAGTTCTTTGGAACCAACCAATTTGTAGGATTTTTATGTGGGTTGTCAAGACCCACTCCTCCAGTCAACAGAAACATCCACTCATCTAATTTTATTTCATTGCGACTCTTCATTAGATTTACTGTAAGTAGTAGAGAGAAAAGCAGCTTGTCCTGTAGAAAAGAAGAATAAAAATGCATAAGAAACACTGACAAAAAAGTTTAATTTTTCAAAATATAAAAAAATTATAATACCTTTTCAAATAAACTTCTGCAAATATTGCAGTACAACGAGTATGTAAAATATGATTTAAGACCTTCTATCCACTGAGGGACTTCATCAAATTTTTCTGTGTTATCAATAGCATTTGAAAATAAATTAATAAACCATGCCAAAGAATATTGGTACATTGGATCAATATTGGCCAAATCCACTAGAGAAAAAATAGAAGAAAAACATTAGAAATAGAAACATCACACTGTAGTTGACTCTCTATTAACTATTCATGGGAATCAGATCCCTGTCTGGATATGGGAAAGTTCTGTTAAAATGTTGTTTTTTTAATATTCAGTATTTCACTTAGATTGTGTTCATTGTGGAAATTGTAAAAAAACAACTCTTCTAAAATACGTCAATAATTTAATGCCATCACCAGTTCTGTCATATATCAAACAAAATTGAAATTGTAGCTTAAAAATATTTACAAAATCTTCATTAGTGAATAACCCGTGTATTACTTATTGTACACATAAATCGTTGTCCTCACTATATGTGTCCTCCTTTGCTTACAATAAATACGAAGAAGTAAGGCAGAAGGATGCTAAAGCATCATCCTAATAATCTTTTTGTCATTAAGAATATGTATGTATTTTTGGACACAAAACTATCTTACTTAGTAACTGCAGAACCTCTTCCTTTACTCACCAATACTGAAAAATAGTACAGTTGAATAGGAAGCTGAAGGTTTATAGGCTTCTCTGGCTTCATCAATTTGTTTTTCTGTAACGTCAGCAATTGCTTGTTTTTCAGATATCTCAGTGGCTAAGGTTTTGGAAGAGCTCAGTATGTTTACTGCAGTTTCATCTTCTAAAATATTGCCTTCTGATGAGGATAAAACATGAAGAATTTTATCTTCAATTTCTTTTAAAGTTCTGCAAGAATAATATTGAATTATATTATCAATTAATTAATATCATTAACAAAATTTTAATGAATTCTGAATAAAAATAATAAAACTTTCAATAGATTAGACATTACTTTTTATTTTCAGCGCCTTGCACAATCAACTGATTTTTCTCAGCCTCTAATGCAGGTAATTCTTTGGCTACTACAATTCCCAGCAATTGATCTTCAAGACCAGTAGTCGTGATCATAAAATTAATCAGAGTAACTTTTACTTGAATTTCTGGTAGATAGTGTGGATTTCTCAGCTTTGTGGTGATGTAAAACCTAAACAAATGTATTTGATCGCACATCTTAAAACATTCTTCAATAATGACTTGCATTGAAATATAACAGTGAACTAATTACCTGAATTCATCAGAGTATTCCACTACAGAATCTCCCAGTTTAATCATTAATGCACCTCCCTGCTTGAAAACTTGCTTTTGTAAGAGAGGCTCTAGCATAGCATCAATTTCTTCTCCTATATTTTCCAAAAGTACCTAACATATTAACATATTATAACACATTTGTTTGCTTTCAATAAAGTTCTTTCAATTTTTGTATAATAATTTTTAATCGTATATAATATTTGTTAAAATATAAACATACCGGTTGCCCAAATTGAATTGCATTTTCCAAAACTCGTGGGTAATCACTTTGGTTAAGACGGATTACATTTAAGCTATGATCTTTCTCAAGATTTTTAATCCATTTGTTTGCTTGTCCTTGTGGGTCTATCATAAGAGGGAAACGTCGGGAATTGCTGTTAAAAATACATAAATAATGTATAATAATTTGAAAAAATATGAAGCATGTTATATTATGATACAAAATTGTGTAGATTGGATGAAAGTCTGAACGTACTGAATTAGCAAAATGTGTAATTTTTATTTACAATAAAAAAATATAAAAATGAATTAACGAAAGCTCTCATGTATCTCCAAGTCAAATCTCAAGAAGTAAGCCTTCAATAAGCATCTAAATTGAAATTTTGATAGCATTTTTATCTCCTAATTAATTTTAATCTGCTTTAGCAGAACTGTAATTGGAGAATGCCTGATATATATTTAATAGATCATCTGCTAAATTTCTAACATTTTACAAAATTGTTTTAAAATAATCTAATCCAATGAGAAAAAAATTGGAACTGGAAGACTTCATGTAAACAAAATATATTCCTGCACAATAACAAAGAATCATTTTTGGGAAGAAAACACACAAACATAGAAATTGTGAAAAATCATACAGAATTCATGGTCAACATAGTTCAAACAAGATACTGGTTTGTGTCAGTCAGAAACAATAAAGACAAACAAATATTTTTCAGAAACACAAAATCTAAAATATATCTTGTAATCAAATCTGAAGATGAAAAATTACCAAATCTCTTTGTATCTACTAAATGCCAGAAAAATTAAAAATATTTCCTAAATCTAAAGAGCTGAAATCAAAGGAGTACATTAATACTTCATTGACATAAGTACTAAAGAATATAAGAATATTACTTTATAATTATAGCACTATCAATTGAAAATGCATCAGTTGGTAGGCCATTTATATTCCACTCTCTTATCAGGACAGGATCTCCAAGATTAGCATTCAAAGTGTAGTCTGAGGAGTATGGTATTTTATAAGTTTCCAAGCTTATTAGCCATTCCTTAATTTGTTCTGCTCGAAATTCCATTGTGAATGGACCCATATATGCAATTATCCCAGAACTTATTAGAATGTCACCTGTAAAGTATATTTTTAAAGATAGGAATGAAATATGTTGCAATATAAAGAAATGTAATCATACAAGCAAATATATTCATTTAGTATTTTTTAAAAACACTTTACTTGCCAGTAAGAAAAATATATTTTTCTCCTAATGTCTTTATGGAATTAGTCCATCTATCTTTTTCTCCTCCTAAACCTCCAATTAAATCTTCAGCTCTTTGAAGTTTCTTTGCACAAAGATCAGCATCTGCTTGCAGCTGATTGTAACGATTAGTTTGATCCTCCAAAGTCTTTTGCAGTTTAGCTAATTTTTCTTGCACTTCACGTAGTTTTGCTCTTTTAACTTCCAAAGCAGCCATTGCAATAGAGAATGCTTGTTCAGCCTCAGCTAAAGCAGCTCTTTTGGGAGCAATTTCTTTTGCAACTTTGTCATATTTAGTAATGGCTATCACCCATCTGCACATACCTAAAACAATAAATAAATTAAATATTACATAATACTAGCAGAAATAGTATTTATCCTTGCATTGCCTGGAAATGTATTAATCACAATCATATATTAGATAGGAAAAATGATTCTGTTTTGGGAATCTTTGCCACACATTGCTCTGTCCTGTGTTGCACTAACCATTTCCCATTATGCTACACCTCACCCCATCAAATCCTGATGTATTTGCTACAATCATCACTGCTATTACCATCAATGTTCTCAAACAGAACATGAATACTCCCTCATAGTGCATTGTTGTATACTCCTTGCAAATATCCAGTAAAAATGTTCACCAACTACTCAAATCTAATAATGCTATCAGAATAATTCAAAATACATTCAGTAGAAAATTTTATATGCTTTTAGAATCAATCATTAACATTGGTGGATTTCCTTACTGTTTACAAGAAATTTAGAAAAACTGACTCGGTGCACACTTAAATTTTCCTCTGAGGTGTAGATTAAGGACATGGGAGTAATTTTACAAAATTTCACATAGACAGTAATTTTGCATGCGTGTGTGTGTTTTGTTGGTAGTTTTTCAAATACATATGCACATAATTTCATGAGAGTCAAAATAAAACTGTAGATTTGAATATAAAACAACACACAATTCTTCTTTATATAATAGAAAATAATTATTTGAGAAAAGTAGTCTGGAAAATAAGGAAAATACTGGAAAATACTCTACCTTTCAGTGAAAACCCATCAAAATTAGCTTAGCCATTCCAGACATAATATAAATTCACATAAATAACAATTTCAGAAAAAAGACAGTTTGGAATCTTTAGGCAGACGCATTTTATTTATATAGACACATACTGGTGGTGAGGCACTTGGGAAAATTACTAGAAGCTTCTTCAGTAATTAGGAACCCTGGCAGCAGTGGCAAGTATGTCTTGCTTGATATCACACACACACACACACACACACGCACGCACACGCACACGCACACGCGCACGCGCACGCGCACACACACGCGCACGCACACGCACACGCGCACGCGCACGCGCACAACGGCCGCGGCGCACCACACGACAACACACACACACACACACACAACACGCCACTTACGTCCAGCTCCCGCCCCTTGCAAAGCGCTGAGGCGAGGTGTGGCTCTGCAAAGATAGGAGGAACACCACAGAGTGTTATACGTGTCCGGCTGAACAAGTTAGCAATGAGGCAACGCATAAACCAGAAATGAGATTCTCCAGCTAATTTAAATCATGCGGAGCCGCCAGGACTTCTCACCAGACGGTGCCGAGATGAACATAGATGTTGCAAACTCTGCGACAGTATCAGAATAATTTGCCGCTGTTCTTAGTCTGGTTTCGGAGTCAGACTTACAGAGCTGCAGTATTGATATGATGCGTAGTAGTCCAGTCCAGGATGTTATGCAAGTCCCAAGGGGATGGAGTTCATTGGATCAAAGGTCGCGTGTATAATTCTATAGTGTTTATGCTGCATCCCAGTGCATCGCTTGAGAGATTCGAGGAAATTACTCGATCGCTTATCGATGACGCGAGAGAGTAAGAAGCCTCTTATCTATTGCTGCGGGACTCATCTTGGGCACTAGTGGGATGCAGATTAACGAACCGACGCGGGTGGCTCTCCTGGACAGCACTGACAGTTGAGGTGTCTGCCTCTGCAACACGGGGGGCCAGTCGACCTTTTCTAATGATTGGCTCGCAGCTGGTCGATTGATGCTAACTTTCGCTGTAAAAGCCTTGCTAGACGTATGTATCATGGGGGTTAGTGCACATTAATACACATAGTGACACCAAGCTATTGCGGTATGAATAAAAGAGCAGTGCATTTTGAGCTCCACAAGGGATAGAGGAAAGCTGTTTGAATCACAGGATGTTCGATGTGATCTTCATTCGCATGAATGGAGGGCAACCTGAAGATATGTTGGCCCGTGACTCTGACATATTTGTGAAACCGTAATGAACCGGGTATTGACGCTTGTGATGCGTCAATGACAAAAGTCCAAGGAAGAGACGGCGGTTCCTCCAGTGTACTGGTGGACTGACAGATCCGGCGGAACTTCGCCACATAGAAATGCATCCTGAAACACGTAGGATTTCACACGCGGCTGAGCCGCCCAAACTTCATGAATTTCTCAAGAAGCATACATATCGGACGCAGAAGAGCTTTCACAAGAAGCCATTAAGATTAGTAAGTTGTCGTTTGCTGGAGAGATAGGCGAGGAGGTGGATGCTTGACCGTGGACGCCCGTATAAGCTGTAAACGGCCAGACTCAGGGGGTATGGTCAAACGGACACCTTGCCGGTCTTTCATGGAAAAAGTTGTAGCGACCCTTGTTTTCTTCCCAGGCTAGATATGTTAAACGAAGGATCGTTGGAAGATCTAAGCCGAGTTCGGCAGTCATCATTGGAAATGAACTTTCACAAGCTTGGCAAGTCCAAGAATTGCAAAGCCCCGATTAGATGTGGGCCAAATGTAGCAATATAAGACCGCTTTAACTCGCGCCGATTATTTGCAGGCATATAACTGCATGCATATAAGATGGGAATTTCCCGCTGTCGATGAAAGCAGCAACGTTAGTCCTTCTTCTACGAAGGCGATAAGGCACTACTGATTCCGGCAGCCTATCCGCCAAATGCTTATGGACACAGCAGCAAGTGTTGGAGCAGATTATCTGCATCTTAATTGAGTCATTTACAGAGGGGACTCAAGATTTCATATAATTCAGCTAGCGCTTTAGAAAGCGAGATCCACGTTAGATGCTATAAGGTAGTCATGACATCCGCATCGCAAGTCCATTGAAGTGCAACGATGGAAAGGCGTCCTAGAATATTGGTGATAGTGACCCTAGATTGTGAAAAACGCTCAACACTGCAAGGTGGAGCTCCATATTTCTGCCCTTACAAATCTCGAGTTCCCAAGGTAATCTCTGAATGTTGCGTGAAAAGTTATTTAAGGAGATGAAGTCCTCCTAATGTGAAACTGTGGGGCTAGAGTACAATCGTATACCGGTACGAGGCGGTGTCCACAAGGCTGCGGTACTTGGTCCGATGTTGTGGAAGATTATGTATGACGCCGTGTTTGAAGCTCGAGTTTGCCGGGAAGACGCAAGACGAAATTGATTCATGACCATGTGCAAGTTCTTCTAGTTGTCGTCAAATACATCGGACAAGTCACGCAGGTTCCAACGAGGCTGTGGCGTGGAGATCCGGCCGGATGGCTTAAGTGGTAAGGGCTACAGATGGCGCCATAAAACTAGAGGCTGGTGCTGGTGAGGGGCAGAAAAGTGAGAGAGAGTATTATCTTAATGTAGGAGGCTGCCAAAGTCCTCGCAGCTGTCACTGAGGTATTTGGAGTGCATATTGACGCGAACTGCGCTTGACGAGCACTGCGCCACTGTTCGAGAAAGCGTCTAGTATGGCATCCGATTGGGAAGCTTGCAAGGTAGGGGGCCTGGGCAAAGAAGCGAGGCTGTGATAGCGTAGTAAATTGCAATTCTTTCTACCCGCAGCCCTATTTGGCTGATGCATGGGCATTCAGTCGTACCGTTGGGGCTAGTCGGTCAGTAGAAGGTTCCGCCTTGCGGTTTGCTCGAGCGGTTTTCGCACCGGTACTTAATGATGTCTGTGTGTTGTTAGCAGATATGCTCCGATGACCTCATTGCGCAGAAGAGAGTAGACTCTATTTGCGCAAGGGAGGGGCTCAATGGAATACATTAGAAAGAAGAGAGTGGGGGTCAATGGCCAATGGCACGACATGTGAAGCAATCATCAACCTGGGCGAGTGGACATTTCGGGTCATTCCGCTCTGACGTGGATCCAGGGATATAGAGAATGTTAGATTTTACTTCAGATGCCTGACGGGCAGGATGTGATCGAAGAGTATAGTGCAGATTCAGGTTGGACGATGTCTCTATGCCCAATGGTGTTCCGGTGATTGAAGATGTAGAAACGTGTTTCTTTCATTGTCCACGCTTGCATGGAAAGGGAGAATTCACAGACTCCTCAAGAAAGGAGTGACCTGAGACATCGTCATAGTATGTCTGCTGCACAAGAGTATTGGAGTGCGGTAGCACGTATGCCCGCAAAGGTCCTGAAGACGCCCGCCGAGGAGCAGTTACGAAGATAGACTCCGTATAATTTGGTGCGTGCGAAAGCCCATCCTTCATTCTTGCGATGCATGCTGACGCGGTTGCGGGAAGGAATAGGAAGGAAAGGAGGGGTTGTGGTGGCAATCAGGCTAGTATTATCCGACACGCTGCGGGTTGCGGGCCCGGCTGTGTCTTTAGAAGATTTTCCCCTGCCAGAAGTAAAAAAAACACACACACCCCCACACTTCAAACACACACCAAAGAAACAACAAAAACACAAACACACCCAAAAAACCCAAACCACACAACACACCACACAAACACCAAACACAACACACACAAACACAACACACACAACAACACAAACAAAACAAACCACACAAACCAAAACAACCACAAAAACCACCAAACACTACACACACAAACACACAACACTAAACACCAAACACACACACACAACACACAAGCACAACACAAACACAAACCACACCAAACACACACACGCAAACACAACACACCAAAACACAAACACATCACACAACACAAACACATCACACAAACACACCACCAAACACAACCCACACCAAACAACCACACGAAACACAACACAAACCACACAAACACACAACAACGACAACCTCAAACACTCAATCACAATCAGCACAAACCACACAACACAACACAAACAACACAAACACACACAACACACACACGAACACACAAACACTTCCCAACTCACCAAACACCACAAAACAAAAACCACCCTCACAACACATCACAAAACAATCACCACACGTCAACACTCCACACACTCACACACACAAACTCACACATCACACAACAACATCACACACTCACACACACAAAACACTCACACAACACTACAACACCACAAAAGCTCACACACACACAAAAACTCACCACACAACATCACACACACAAACACCATCACAAGCAACACTCACACCACAACCTCACACACACACACTCACCACACACAAACATTCCACAAAACACCACTCCAAAACACTCACAAACACTCACAACACACACTCACACACACACACCACAACACACACACAAACACTGACCAAACACAACACTCACAAAACCACAAGAAACACACACACCACACACACAAATCACACAACTCACACACACAAAACTCACACCTCACACACAAACACTCACACACAACACTAAAACCAAAATCACTACACACAAAACTCACACACACACACACTCACACACACTCTCACACACACACTCACACACACACTCACACATTCACACACACACACACACACACTCACACACACACACACAAACATACACACAGTCTGTCATTTCCTTTCTGCCCACACCTCCCTCTCTCCCAACCAATTCTTTCTATTGCATCAGTTCCTCCTTCTCATTATGGCCTGCCTCCTCAGTCATCTTCTTTGCTTCATCTCCTTCTGCCCCCCCCCTCCCTCTCATTCCACTGCTTTGACATTTTTATCTCCTCTTGCTCCTTCTATTTCAACCACCCCACTCACTACCCTCACACCTCCCTATTACAATTGCTCCACCCGCTCCATCCAATCGGGCTCGGCTCCATGCCACATCACATAGTAACAGTGCTGCCCACATGAATTACATTTAACAATATAAAGGACACATTTTTAGATAGCATTTTGAAGTGCAACTATGCTATTTTTAATATTTTGTTGCTTAAAAGTACTTGCTCAAAATTTGAGAACTCCAGTGACATTAAGTTTTCTGGCACTTGTAATTATACATACTTACACTTTTATATAATTAATACATGAGTATATGTAAGATTGTTGATTCTTGGTGAGATTTTATTTATTCAAATTTACCCATAACAAATCTTACATTCAGCAAACTTTAAATAATTTCATTCAAAATATTTCTGAAATTATGGGCCACTTTTGTGTTCAAAATACTTCATCTTTCTTGAACCACAGAATTTTTAAAATAATTTCTAATGATGTTCAATATGGAAATCGGTTCATTTGGCGGTAGAGACTATTACTGGAATAGTCAAATATAAAATGACTCTACATACATCAGGGAAACTCAACAATAACAAAAACTACTTTATTAACATTACGTTTTTAAATTCTTGTACCAAGTTCAGTTCAACAACTCCACAAAAATAATTATTGTGCTGGTAATTGATCGGATACATGCCTCAATTATTACCTCATTATCAAATTATTCCATCAACTCTCAAGGTTGAAATATTTTGATCATGCACACTTCATTCAAACTAATAAATTTGTTTCAAACATGATTTGTAATGATATCTAAAGAAAATTCATCAAAATGGTTCTGTTTTTTATGTATTTATTATTATGTAGAGATTTATAACTCCAAGTTTTAAATTCAAACTTCATCTTTAGCAGTGTCAAAATTCGATCTAAATCGTGATAATTCTTCTTGAGTGTTCTGTAATAAATACTTAGCTTCATAAAAATCAATTTTAGAATTTTGAAATAACTTTGATACAACATTGATGGAAGTTAAAATTTTACATAGAATATCTTGAAATTTGAATTAAAATTTTTCCATACGCTTATTTATATTCAATGTTCAGATTTAGTTTTGAAAGTCAAAAAAGCTTGCAAAATTTTAGAATAATTAAATCTCATTATTATTAATGCATCATTTCCACTTCACCACCTTAGTTGAACAAACGTGCATCAACATGAAATGCAAATCATCATCATCATCATCATCATCATCATCATCATCATTGTTGCTGTTGTTATTATATTATATTATATTATATTATATTATATTATATTATATTATATTATATTATATTATATTATTATTATTATTATTATTTTATATAAATAACATTTTGTATATGCCTAATAAAGCCCAATATCAAACAATTTTTCAATCAACTTTCACTTTAAACTAAAAACAACTTTAAATTGGAATCTATTGAATAAAATAGCTTAAAACTATTAATATTTTGAATATTTAATAATTTTATGAATTCTTTATTTTATTATGATAGCATGATAGTTAATAGCCAGGGGCTTCCAGGCATTAAACTGGTTACAACCCTGGTCGTTTTGCCACTGCCTGATATGAGAGGTCTTATCAGTATGTGGAATTCCCTCTACACACAAATAATGTTAAATGAAAGATACACATATGAAATATGAAAGTTTATGACGTATGGTACTACTGAAGGAATCTTTTCCATGACTTATGAAAAATCAATGTCATATTAATACCTTCAGCAGCAATAGCAGCTGTTCGCACTTTTTCTGGAACAAATTCTTCATTTGGAATATACTTTTTTTCTATAACCTGGATAATTCGGTCTGGAATGTTATCTTTGTCAAAATTTAACAGAGAATCCAGAAATTTCATATCTCCCAGAACTTTCTTTGATGGACCCCAGTAATCCTCAATCATTTTTCCAGGAGTGTTAGGATCAGGAACTTTATCAGGTTTGACATCCTAGAAAAGAAAAAATCCCTTCCATGAAGGAAACTATTGGTGACACATAATAAAATGCAGTTTCTTCTAAAATATATTATAACAGTATTGTAAAATTAGAATAATGAAAAGTACTTATAAATTTTCAAATTTTATAGAGAACACAAATCCAAAGAAGTTCTAAAATGGATTTTATAAGAAAAATGTACATTCATTATACATCTTCAATATTTTATGTTTATTAAAGTACAATATTAAAATCAGAGTAATGTTCCACAAAATGTATAGCAACAAAACATGAAAAATTCTCACACTTGTAAATAAACATTATTTTCAAACATCACAAATTCTACATTAAAGAATTTTAGGCTAATATTATTTACAAAACATGTAATAATATGCTTAGTTTTTGCTTGTAATTTGAAGAATTATGATAAAAATATGTTAGAACAAAAATGACCTACTTTTTTCACATTTTTCTAGATTTTATGTATTTTTTAAAGTTTAGAATCGACTCTGAATGCCTACGAAGAGTATAACACATTTGCATAGAAGAATTTAAAGAAAAGAATTGGAAAAAAAGTGATTGAGTACTTCATAAAAGAGACCAATTTTTGGTCAGCTGGAAACAAAATCTATAAAAATGTTGAAGAACTTCAATGCAGGACAAAATATGTTTATGAATTGAATGAAATATACATTAATACTGAACATTAATATTGAAGAAGAAAAAGATTATCAAAAAGACAAAACATGAAATTTGTGAATTTTCAAAATTATTCATAGAAATCACTTTAGGGTAATGAATTTAATCAAATGAAAAGTTGTCGGAGGTTTTTGAGCAGTTTTCAAGAAAATTTTATGAATAAAACAGTGTAGATAATTTTCACAGTTTGATTTCAAAAGACACAAACACTATTTTAAAAATTTTAATCCTGAGATTACTTTTACATACAGCATACATTACCAGCTCACTTTATTACATTTATAACAAAATATCTCTCTTCAATAACGATGTAGCATAACAAATTTGAAAAAACGAGAATCTTTGTAATTTTCAAATATTCAGAACTTTTATTGCAAATTAAAAGCTTACTATATTATTAATCATTCGAACAATAAAAAATTTAGCGCCGTTTTTGAAAAAAAAAATTGGTAACCACTTCGTGACTGAACTTCGCAGGATCTTAAGGGTCCTCAGAATCCAAAACGATCACAGAATACACATTTGAGAAGCTATCCTTTCTACGGTTCAATGGTTAAAATATTTGGCGCCGTTTTTGAAGATAAAACTAACGGACGGACGGATGGATGGACGGACGGACGGACGGACGGACGGACGGACGGACGGACGGAGGAAGAACGAACGGAAGGAAGGTTTGTGCAACGAACATTTTTACTTTCCAGTATACGTACGGTATATATTTCCAAATACGGGGTAAAATAACTAGTATATGGAAAGTTATGTAATACTGCAAAAATCTATTTCGAGATTTCAACGGAATTACACGTTTTGGGGGCGGTCACGCATTTACACGGAAAGACTTTTACGTCACACTGTGCAAAAGTTCTAATAGATGATAATACTGATTCTCGCAAGTATGGGTTTGTTCTGTGTTCTGGTTTGGACACGGTTATCAAGTACCCTTTTGTCGAAACGTTCTCTTTAACAGCGCATTAATTCGCTATTACACTACCTTGGAGAAATCTGATTTACTTGTCCGAGATTCAATGTATTTCCGGCTGATATTTGACAATCGCTGGGGCAGAATTCTTGAATGCAGTAAACATGCGCTTAATCCTTGACAGTGCGGTGGGTTGCATAGAATTCAGGGGCGCTTGAGTCGTAACGAATCATTAACTTCGGTACCACATGTCCGGTTTAATTCAAAATACTCTTTAAATAGAGACTCTTTAAATAATAAAATTTGAGAACTACAGCGTAATTTCAGCTTTTTCACCAATTTGTGTGACACATACACGCATCCCCTTTTATTTACGTATAGATAGATATAGATTGGAACTTCAGTCGAACATTTTAGGCGAATCGACGCTTCGCTACGCATGTCCAGTTTTATGCACAGTCTGTGGCCTTCGGACTACGTGACTGACATAAAACATCATTCATATTCTGCTTCTTCTTAGCGTCGATCGCCCGAACACCACGAGTACAGTACTGGACAAGTTATTTCCGCGCAATTCGCGTAGTCGCCCTCCGCGCTTCTCATCACACGCTGCTGGTGCAATCGGTACAAACGTCTTATAGGAACGGTACGCGAGAACACGATCTCTACGCCAATTTCCTTCAGTTATTCTCTTTCAGAATTTGTAAACTGTTACTTCTTGATCGACTTTCGTGTTGAAATAACGTGCGATGCTCTTACCTTCAAGACGCAAACAGCCTCCATTACAAGTCGAATACCCTTAGGAGGACTTTTCATTGTCTTAATAAATACAATGTCCTGATTGGTGAGAGTGTTCAAAGCTGCTGACGCAGCATTCAGAACAGGCATGGCTTCTGCCAGCCTGGCATCACACTCATCTTTGATTTCTTGTGCAGCTGCTGCCTGTTTATTGGCTTCTTCTTCATCTTTCAAGACAACCTTCTCTACCTGAAATTAAAACAAGTACATAACATTAACGAAACCTCTCGAATATTCAGTAATAGTTTCACTACGCAATAATCCTAATAAAAGTAAATGCTTCTTCATAGCTGTAGGGTAAAGAAGTTCCTTTCCCTAAAATGAAAATGAAAATTGAAACTCAGAAATGAAAATTGTGCGTACCGAGTTTATTGAACGAGTTATGGTCCATTTTTCTAAGAATATTAGGATGCCCCTTACTTTCCGACTTCGAAATATTTTAACGCTCACCTTCCAATTTTGTTCGAATGACCTTAAAACATGCGAATACGAACTTTGTTGAGATCGGAGCATTCTAATCCGTGCCGACTTCAGCGCGAACTCGCATGACGGACACGTCCAGACTTACACCCAGCGCTGAGACAAGCTCGAACCTAACAATTGGCCTAAATGAATTTTAATCGATCATGTCACACGTGTTTGCAGGTCGCTAATCTAAAAATGTAATATTTTAGTACCATAGGCAGAGTACATGTGTTTTTTATAAAAGATAATTTTAATAATTAATACAAAATCCCACAAAACGGGATACAATTCGATCAATATTATATCATTAACAAAAATATAACTATCTATTTTGTTTCTCCATTTTTTATCTATAAGAATTGCGACTAGACTTACTGCTCTTTTTTTGTTCTAACCCACTATATATCACTGCATAATTTTCCAGGTCTTTTGGTCCTATACGTTTCTTTTTGTTTCTGGAATAATGGCTATATTAAATTTCTTTCTCTTTTAGTTCCTTAACTAGTTCTAGTTCCTTTGTTGACAGATTCCTCACATTCCAAGCAACAATCTTTAATATATCCTTCATTCCATATCTCTTAACCTTTTTCTGACAAAATTTGTCATAGGTTCGAACTAGCCATCTTCTTTGCAGCTTAAATGTAACCTAAAATTAGCTTCTCGCCATAGCACGTCATATACAGTTTTTAAATGTTTTTGACTTAAATAAAAATAAGCTTGCGAGTGTAACTTTTTTTTACGAGGGAGGGTTACCAGACTTTCGCACAACGTCCAAGCAGGAAAGAGTCTGGGGAAGAATTTCCCATTCAAACTTCTGTCATATTCAGCATCAATTCGCCTTTTAATCCGTACTCTCATTAAGCTATTCGATACCCAAGTTTATCGAAGAGATTTTAGATAGTTTTCACAAATTTTCAGACAGCTGTCTTCCTCAACATCCAAAAAGCGTTTTGTATGGCTCAATATGGCAACCTATCTTATTATTCAAACTTCAAAAATTCGACATCCCGCAGTATATTATTCTCCTAATTACGATTTCTCTAATAGGTGTTTCTCCATATGTTTACTGACCGCGGTCTTCGTCCCTGCTCCTATCTTAGCAGGTATACTACAAGACCCGTCTGTAGAAACTTTTTTTCAGAAAACTCATTCCTTGACAGCGCTGTAGCATTGCTTTCTCTTTAAATATTTGCAGAACTCTAGAAGGTTCTGTTGCTACGCCAAGCCCTGTAAAGTACCTCCAAAAATCAAAATATCTGTTTCAAATTCGCGGGGGCTTAAGTTCCATCAATCGGGAGTGTCATTTTTGGTAAAAATCATCTGAACAATTTAGACGCTTGTGATGTCCACAGATGGACAAACAGACGGGCAGACTGACGTTTAATCATAAATCGTTTTTTTCCGTATCTAACACCTACAAAACGTGGATTCTGATTACATAACCTATTAGAGGAAGTAATAAACTACAAATGGAAGTAATATTTATCCACTTTTGATGTTAGTTACACACAATAAGAGTTCCATTCCATTCCACACAATACGAAAAAGTAGAACGCTAATACTTCCTTACCTCTGCAACATCTGCTGTTTCCTTCTCAACTTGAGTTACAATTTCTTGCACTTGCTTAGCCGCCTGGACAATGGCAGGCTGCAAAGCTATCAATTCCTCTTGTAGAACATGCACTTCAGCAGCTGCACCTTCCAGTTTTTCTATTCCTACTTCATATCGCGTCTTTGCTGCCAATACTTCTCTGAAATAAAGTTACATTTCCGCATTGTAGGTCAAAGTGACAGCTTGAGAACTAAGTATTTCACTTGCACAATAACTTTCCCATTTAAATAAGTATTTGTTACATTACATAAAGAATATCTATCTCAACATACAAATGTCCAATACAACAACTTTTCTGTAACACTGAAATGGTGAAATACGAATATTATTTTCTCTTTTCACGAAAAATAAACCGAAAGGACCACATAAATCGTTTTTAAACTAAATAATACTTACTCTCGTTTTATTGACAATAATTCCTTAAATGTTGATATAAGTTCCAAATATGAAGTAGGAGTAACATAACAATGTCTCCCAAGACGCCTTAAATATTTTTCTGATATACTTTGAGTAGACGTGTGGAAGAATTGACACATGTCAACACAAGCATCTTGCTCTTTTTTTGTGAGATCTACTTCGGCAAGAAACGTCGTAGCCACCGCTAAAAGAGCATCTTCAGGCCACGCCTTAAATTAAGAACAACGTCTAAACAATTCACATTTCATTAACTTCAGATAATATATATAACTATAATAGATATAAATATATATAATTTATGAATGTGTAAATGAATAGATATAAACATGTATTCTAATACATTTATTGGAAAAAAATATTTAATTCATATGAAATACGGTTCCATCAAGAATTCTAGAAGTACAGCTTCCAAACAGAATTGTCATTTCAGCAGAGCCCACCTGAGCAACATTGGTAATATTATAACTATTACGGACTCTAATTTAACGGCCGTTGCTATGGGCGCGCTATTAATGCGTTGTTTAGATGGTTGATTGCTAAGGAACTGAGCGCGTAATTACCAAAAGTATTGTTTAACACGCAGTGCGGGAAACGTGGTTTCACGGGCACGTTTTCCCGTGTGCAAAACAGCTATTTTTTTCAGTGTGCGGAACATCGGGAAGCATTTGTATGACACATTGCATTTCGCTCAAAAAAAATAGTATTCGTACCACGTACCATAGTATACGTTTAGCGTGTTAAAAGCACTATACGTACCACGGTCGCGAGGTGATCGGCACTGGACTCGTGCGTGAATCACCTGTTTTGCGCCTTGATCATGTAAGCTACTACATTGATATTAGCCTTTTAATATTTCAAATATTGCCTCTAGAAAAAGTACTATAATTACTGTACACACCTCTACACAGTTCTATATACATGAAAATAATGTACCAAAAATATGTATTTTAATTTTTTAAATCATGGCGCACCAATCACAAAAATATAAAAAAATTCCAGAAAATATCTGATTTGCGGGGCAACATTTAAGAATTTTCTCGTGCAGATGGCTGAATTAAAACGCTTTAAAAAATCCCAACATTTTAAAATCTATTTAAAAGTATGAATTTCCCGGCAACAAAAATATTTTTGAACAATTGAGTAAATTTCACATAAAGAATCATTATTTTAAAGGGAAATTCATACTAGCAATTCAATGAAGAAATTTAAAAAAAACGAGTTTTTCAGTATTACGAAGGACATTAAATGTTACTGCAATCCCTCTTACCGCGAGGTCCTACGTTCGAGTCCCGACGGTGGCAGGATTTTCGACTCTGGCTTGTTAACTTGGTCGAATTCAGTCGCTCCCTCGAGGAGAATTCCAGCGGCAGACTGCTCTGATCGGTACTTTTCCGTGGTTTATCCGATCAACAGAAGGCAAGTGCCGGAGCAGTACCCTAACAAACGGGCCACGGACCGCGCACGATCTCTTCTTTCTCTTCCTTGTCCTATCCTCACCCCTTACACACGCACTACACTACTACACATCCCGGGAAACCGGTCGGGAGCTTGAAGCTTGGCCCGGCTGGGGCGGTGGCCCGCTGGTGGGAGATTCTTAGTTGCGGAAAACCCCGTTAGTCGACGGTAGCTCGGCGCCGGATCTCGCCATAGAGCGGGGGAAAGATTTCCGCCACTTCCCAGGGAAGACATACACTACACTTACGGGAATAATGACCGTGGTAGTTGACGTGCCCCGAATCACTAATCAATCAATCAAACGAAGAATGTGCAGAGGGAAGGAATCTAAAACTCCATTAAAAATTGTTTTTCGTGGTCACAATCCTTACGAAAAGGTCTATTTTCAAATTCAAGCGGGGGCATTTTTTACCATCTTCTCCATCTAAGAGCCTTTACCAAGCATTTTGAATCGTTGCGCCCTGCTTGACGCAACATACGCTATGTGTGTACGTTGTACTTGTAAGTGCAATGAAGAATGAACCGACGTGAAAAATACTTCAAAATAATTACATTTGTAAGATTTTTGAAAAGTCAAACGAATACATCAAAATGGCGTTTAATTCATATTATTCAGTACATTTAGTACTATTGATTCCAAATAAATTAATGGAACATTTCAAGCCGTTTTTGAGAAATTATTGTTTCTAATATTGCCCATATTTCGCTCAAAATTACAAGTAATTTAATCTTTTAATATTTTCAAAAATATGCAAGACGTTAATTAAAAAACTAATTGTGGAGAACAAATTTCATTTGGAGAAAATATTTGTATCATCAATAATGTAATAGTACAAGCAAGTAACAAATTTCAAACATTGACAATTTTCAAAAATTCAAGAGTTTACAGAGAAATTGGATATAATCACGTTCACAAGAGTATTTTACTCTCATCTTACAAAAATATAAAGGAATCTTTGGAGCTATTCCTTAGAAAAAAATTAAATTTCGCAGAGATTGCATTTCTGCCACATCGATCGGCGAATATCGTTTTCAAAAAAGAAATCTTTCGAATAGTTAATTGGCTAGTGTTGTTGACGGACGTTTTGAAAAAAAAACATTTCTGCCAAACCCTCGACATTTATTTAGACGTTTACAAGGAATTAAACATGAAAATGAAAAAAACTACAAGAAGCGAGTATTATATTTTATTTTTATTTTACATACCTGAAACCAATCGATTGTACAGCAATTGACAAGGGCTGGAAATTTCCTCATATTGTTTCGGAATCCTTCACCTATTGGACTCATAGATAATATAATATGAAGTTGATCTCTGACAATTTGTACAAATAGGTTGAAAAGGGCCACAGGGCTGCCATCGGTCTAAAAAATAAGCACGAAAACATTTTGATTCGTATAAAAGTACGAACGAAACAAGGAATAGTAAATTGAACTACATGTTACCTGCATAGCCTTGTCTCTTTGTCTATCTATAGGACGCATTTTCTCACAAATGTCTGCTTTTTCATCAGCTGGAAAAATGTTTGGAACTTCGCCAGCGTTCAAGAGATTACTAAGATCTTCTAGAAAAGTAATATCTTTAATCTGAAATGGTGTTAAATGAATATTAGTGCTTATTCCTCAGAAAATAAAAGTAAATAGCAGAAAAATTGATGAAATTAAACTTTCAGAATAAAGAAGGCGATAGAAAATAAGAACATTATTACTCCACACACATTCTTCGCTATCTTATTCGAGTGTACATTGAAGTGTGAAGCTCTGTGCACAAGCCCCAATCCTGATTTCCTTACTGCATTCCCAATATGTTTCAAAGCATCTTTAAAGATCAAAGGATCAACGGCAGGCTCTTGTAGATAAAAATGAACTAAATAATCTAATAAATGGTGAAAGAAAGTTGATCGAATTTTCTCAGATACATATGGTACCCTTGTTGCATTGGAAGCAGTTAGAACACAACCGCTTATTTTTGCCTCGCTTAGAATATACAGACGAAGTCAGAACTGCCAGAACTGCTCAGAAGTCAAAACCGCCTTAGAGAAAATGAAAAAGGGGGAAAACACGGCGAAGATGGGATTACCAATGAATGTGTCAAAATAAGTGAGGCCATCATCGCCACAGACTAATCTCTTCAATGTGATTCTCACAAAAGAAGAAATACGCCACAATGAAAAATTAATACGATTGTACTTTTATACAAAAAGGGGTCAAAGAACGATCTAAATAATTATCGTCTAATCTCCTTGTCATCCAATATCTACCCACTATTTTCTAAAAGTTTTAATAGAAGGCTGTCCTACACTTTGAATGTAAATCAACCGCGGGAATAAGCAGCTTTCAAATCAGACTATTCTATTGTTGATCACCTTCAAACAGTTCGTCAAATCTTTAAGAAATCGCATGAATTCTATCTAAAACTCTATGTAGCATTTCCGGACTTTGTTAAAGCCTTCGACCGCGTCGAACACCTTTGCATCCTCCAAGCATTGCTGAAACAAGGAGCAGAAAGAAAATACATCCGCATTTTGGCAAGACTTTATTCAGATAGTCAAAAAATGCAAAAATCAGAACTGACAAAGAAGGCGTTCCATTTCAACTGCTTAGACGAGTAAAACCAGGACACCCATTGTCACCAAAATTATTTAGAAGCCTTCTAAAAGAGATATTTCGACGACTGAATTGGAAAAATAAAGGAATACTTTTGAACGGACAGAAAATGTCAAATTTAAGATTGATGACATTATATGTTTTCAAAAGATATTATATTGTTTTCAAAATGAGCTAAAGAATTAGAAATCATACTGCAAGAATTAAATGAACAATGCAAGAAGGAAAATCTCCAAATGAATTTAAGCAAAACAAATATTATGACAAACAGCAAAAAACTCAAATCATTTATGATTGAGATGTTTTGAAACGCCGACTTCGTGCCAGGTCTCACCGACCTTCATCGATACCTCACCTCAGTTCAGCACTCCGTGAAGAAGGAGCTGCCATTCCCCGAGAAACCTCCCAGCACCTGATTGAAAGTGTACCTGCGAGAGTAGAAGCTGTCATCAAGGCTAAGGGAGGGGGGGGGCGATCACCGTATTGAATTCCATCGACGGAGGGCGCCACGAAGTGGTAAGTCACTTTCAGCCACGTATCCGGATACTTTTGATCACACAGTGTACTTTCGGCCTTCGGCCCTCATGGATATTTAAATAAATTCTTCTGATTGTCTAGCCGTTTGATGCTGCCCTTGGAGATTCGATCGTTTTTGTACACAAATTTTAAATGTTCCCCAGAGCTCGATTATACTAAAGATGAACAATCGAGACGACTCAATACAATTTTCGGACAGGTCTCAACACTCACTAATCATTTCGCGTCTCTTCTCCCTATTTCTTCATACCAACTGGGCTAATGACGCAATACCGGGAAGGAAAATAGGGCTGCGGACGAGATGATACCAGACACGATGTGAGAAGCCTTTCTGAAAACTTTGAGCAGCCTTACTGTTCCGCCCCTGACATAATAGATGATGGGCTGCATGAATACCCGATATCGGACTCATACGATGATACAACTAGATACGACGTACCAGTGCATCTTACCACGGTGCCGCTTATAAGCAACGACGGATCACATTAAACGCATTGGTCACCAATAAGAGGTCATTTTAAAAGTAGTCAAAGAGTGTATTCTATTATACTTTAATTTTCTATTAAAGTCACAAAATTAGAGATATTAATTAAATTTTTTGAGAATTTACATGTTCATTTTATAGACCAAAATATTCTATCATCAAATTGGAAAATTACACTCACCAAATTGCTACACATGTATCAAGCAGCGATAGTAGTCTGGTGACTGAATTCTTAAGAGTATCTGGTCTGGCTAACTACGCCTAAGGTAAAAAGCTTATTACAATTTCAAATCAGATTTCAATGTCAGACACAGTTTCTACAATTTAAAAAAAAGTCTTTGATTAAGGCCTGCTTTTGGTTTTCTCTGACGATTCCATTAATATAAATCTCGTACCAAAAATATTTCTGGAAATTGATTGAGCTGTGATGAATATCATGACGCGATATTTCTAATGCCTGCCTCATTTCAGCCGTTGTCGGAGTTTGAAACGTTTTCATAGCACCGTCGTAATTTTCTTCCCACACACTTCCACTGCCACTTGTGCGTCTGTATAAGTGATATTTTACATATGTCATCTTCGGCTTGTCAAGCATTAACAGCCACCCACTCCCGAAATTCGTTTTCTGTCATATTCAGTGGTCGAGTGCATAGGATTTTTTTACGCGACCATCAAATAGTATCTGCTAGGCCTCTCGTGAGTGGTGACCCAAGAGGGATCAAAACTGTTCATAATTGAAATGTGCTTAAAAATAATAACAAAAAACTAATTCTAAGCACAATAACAGTCGTTTTCTTAAGGTTGCAATATCAGTCCGAACATAACATTAATATACATTACAACATTAAGCGAATAATAACAGTAACCGTGGTTACAATAAGAGGTGTATGATTTTGCAAATAGCAGAGAAGACATTTTGTAAATATTGAGTGATTATGCTGAGATTTGTGAACACTCACCTGTGAATCAGTAAACAGAAACACACAGTGACTCTCACTTGCGGCAGCTCTCTTGAGAATATTTTTAACATCTTCATGCCACTCGTGCATGCCATATTGTTTTGATATTTCCACCTGAAGATAAATATAATATTCGTACAACCTTGTTCATACACATAATACTAACACACGTCGTACAACTTCTTACCTGAAACAGATCGTATTCAGAAATGTGTGATGCTAAACGGGTGAGAGATTGTCTTCCGGAACCTCCCACACCCACTAACAATCCGTGGCTGCGAGGTTGCTTCAGAATTCGACATATCCTTGACAAATGTTCTATGGCAAATCTGTAAATGTAAAAATGAATGTTTTGTACATGACATTTGAGAATATATTACATTTTATTTCGAAACTAGCTAGAAACGTACCGGGGCTATATCTTTTGCGAGTTTAAAACGTAAAGAGTAAGTGTTGTTTTGATATGTGAAGACACGCAGACTTTGGGCCGGTAAAAAGATTTATTGACTTTGTCTTTGTGCTTACTGAGGTTCATCACCATGCTCTAAGTCAGGGATTCTCAACCGGGTTGGTATCGATCCCCTGGGGGTCAATGAAATTTTGAAGGGGTCAATGAATATCATAGGGTCGATTGGGGGTCTGTAGGCGAATGTGAACTGGCAATTGAAAGGTGTATTTAAGATCACGTTGATTACAAAAAAAATATGAATGAACTTGCAATTAATTGTTTTAGGATATAAATAAACAAAACATAATAAATTACAAATTCACTCTTCTTTTGTACCCGTCGTCCATCCTTAGGATTGGAGGAGTGATACTAAAGCTAATGCAACCGGCCCACAGCACTTGTCCCCTAAAGTAAGAAGTTCTTTATTAAGCCTCTCCCGCGTGAGGATACCGGCAAAGAATAAAACATATATCACTCCACGCTTATTTTCTCCGTTGCACCAGCTATATTCGTATATCCATTAGATTCAAAACTCTTCATTTTACATTTTTTTACTGTTAGGACCTTTTCGCCTTCCTGCACCAGGGCAGCCGACAACCTTGCTACGCAATTGCTTAGGATGTTTAGACAATTCAACAAATGTCCATGTATTGTATTCACGATACTCTATCGCCGAAGAAACGACAGCCTGCAATACGCTCTGGGAAAATGTTGTGAGGAGTTAAAAAACGCCCAACATTTTGTAACCATTGCACAACAATGAAGATTAGAAATTCAGCTTTCCAGATGTGGATGCAATTTTGATTCTTGAAAATCTTCGTATTTATCAAAATATTAGTGTACTAAATTATCTGTAAGACATTTATGAACAATTCCTTGATTATCTATGCAATTTATATTATAGATAATAATCTGAGAGAGTTGGAGGAAAAAACTTTAAAAAGGGGTCGATGAAAAAAATGTTGAGAATCTCTGCTCTAAATGCTATCCTACGAGCCACTTTGAAGAGAGACTTTTCTGTGGTAGAAAATTGTATGTCGCATATTTTTACTTTTTTATTTCCGTTTATTGACGTATTTGTTGTTATGCCACAGAGTATCTAATGAATTAGAAATGAGTTTTCCTCTAGGTTAGAGAGTAAACAATGTGTTTTTTTCATACACAAGAATGTAACCATGGCATTTAAAAAAATCAAAGATCATGTGGGTAGAAATCACCGTCTAACAAAACAGTAGATCATTAAGAGAATGTTTAATCTTAATGTAAGGCTACTTGGCAAAAATCTTGACAGACAAACTCGTACTCCAAAATTCGGCGAATATACGTCCACCTACATTGATCAGTTTAGGTGGTGTTCATTTAATTATTATCAATATATCCACTATAATCGCAGCGCCAGAACACTCAAAAACACGTTTTTGGAAATTTCTTAGAATCTTCCGTCCAAATCCAAAAACGAATTATCAGTTTCCCACCAGACCAAAGACCGGGACGCGTCGAGTGATCCTCATTAGACTTGATTGGTGGACAGGAAGTGGTCTAATCATGAGTGACACACACACACGCACAGTAGCAGTAACAACACCCTTTTTGTCTAATAAACCACTAGAATATTCCGAATGATTGAGCCGCAATAACCACTCAAAAGTTGGTTTGAAAAAATGCTTTCTAGGTAAACATTTGCATCACAGAAGCATAGAAACATGTAAATTGTTTATTATTTACAAAAGTAATTCATGTATTTGTTCAGAAAGAAAAATTAACACAGAAATAAAAAAGCATTCAATTTACACAATTCAACTGCTTTTTTATTTCTGGGTTAATTGTTCTTTCTAAATGAATATATTCATTTCATTTGTAAATAACAAACAATTTCCATGTTTTTGGAGAATTTCAATACTATGCAAAGGTTTGCCCATAAAACATTTTTTTAAACCAACTTTTGAGTGCTTGTAGCGGCTTACCCATTCAGAATATCCATGAAGTTTATTGGACAAAATATGCTTAAAATTTTCTGAAGAACTTATTTACAAAGTTTCAACATTTCCTCCCAGGACACGCTGCACAGCAATATACAACAAAGGTTTTCACTGACTCTGTATTGTCCTCAATTTCAGTCTTCAAATCAATAGTTCTTGAAATGTTAGTATAAGGCACAAGCAATTAAAAAACAATTTTCTCTAATCTAATTCAAAACTTTTAGAAATAAAATTAACTCTTAAAATAACTACCTGAACAATACAAGGTTCATTGGCTTTTTTGATAAGTTATTGAAGTCATTTAAATAATTCTGACAAACTTCTGTCAAAAACTTTCCATCTGGGCATTCAATGTAGTATCGAGTATCAGGCTTTGGATTGGCAAAATCACAATAGATAATTTTTCTAAGTTGAATTTCTCCAAACTGAAATAAATTAAAAGTAATTAGAATTGAAAGAATAATTTAAGTATTCTGTCACTGTAACAATGGAAAACATTAATATTCAAATTTTAACATTCCTAAACACATCCTTACAACAGGTTGGTCTCCAGGTCGGAAGAGATGACTAAACATTACATTGATGTCTTCATCTAAATATGTTTTGACAATTTCATGTAATTCATCACACATCCAAGCTCTATCTACATCATCTGTCAATCTGTCATAGTACACTCGAAGCACCTCATGAACCCACAATCTCTTCAAAGATATAAGGTCTTCTGTGGACTCAGGAACAGAAAGAAGTACTCCCTTTGAAAGAAAGAACAAACCAAGAAATACATTTTGTTAAGCAACATCATATAGCTTACTAGTCTGAAATATATTTAATGTGCACAAATATACCTGAACAACACGAGAGAAATCTCTCAAATTGAAGAGATAATGAGATTTAGCAGGTGTTGGAAGTAAATTTAGTCTTGCATCTTTGTAAACAGCCAATGTCGCATTAACTATCTGAGTGATACAAGGATCAAAGTCCTTACTGAATCCTCTGAAAAAAATACTCAAAATCAATAATAATGATACTCATAAATAGGCAATGTTAAGATAACAAAAATCTTCTGTGCAGTGAAATTAAAAATTCCTTTTCTCAATAACATTAAAAATATTAAATTGTTCAACATAGTCAATCAAGAACAACACTTATATGGAGAGGTATGTGTACAGTTCTAATAAATTAAGAATAAAAATGAATAGGTGAAAATTAGAACGGTATAAGTGACATTTTATAAATTCTGAGAAAAACATGTTTATTTTAAGTGTGTGTCAGTGTCAATGTCTTTTCATGTTTTTAATGAACAATTGAAATGCTATGGTTTTAATGATGAAAAACCACCGCAACTTAACAGTGATATTGACTTAAATAAACAGATTTCTCAGAATTTATAAATGTTCTGGTTTTCACCCATTCATACATGGCATACCTTGTATCCAAGTGCCACAGCATTATCTTACTGAAAATTGTTTTCATAGTGGAATCATCAAATTCATCAATGCCAAGTACACTAAAGTGGCGTAGAAAGCGTGGTGTAACAACATTGCCTCCTGCACTAACTGGACCCATTGCACAAACCAGCTGTAATCATGTATTTTATTCAACAATATTGACAACAAAATACTTATTATTATCTTCCACATTTAAAATTATTTTTTTATTATTTTTTTTAAAATACACAAAAAATAGTGTAAGACAGAAAACCGGGTATACAAATGCTTTCAATGAAAAAAATTAATTAAATTCAAGTGACGTTCTTATAGTGAGAGCGTATAGGCTTCTGCGTCCGGAGTCAGTAGCTGCTTGGCTGACCTGGACACGCCGCAGGGGCCTAGCCTTGGAGGCACCTATGCCTAGGACGGGGCGTCTCCCGAACAGCCGAGCAGCTACCGACGTTCTCATAACTTTATATTGTTAAAAATGGGTGGTGCTACAACAGTTAATTTTTTCCTCGCAATATTGTACTATTACATGAATCCGCAAAAGTATTTCCAACAAGCAAAAAGTTTCTTTCCGCGCCGAGACTCGAACTCAGTTTATAGAGTCAACTCGCCATTCGTTTTACCGCTACATCACGCAGTCAGAGGGAAAGGTTGATCAAGGCATCAAATGATGTCCCCATCAACTAGTGCTTCTGAACGGAAAGTCCCAGGGTCTGGGGAATTCACTCGCTTTCTTGAGGAGAATTCTAGAGGCCGGCTGCTCTGATCGGTAGTTTTCCGTGAATTCTCCGCTCCGAATTCATTTCCGTGAATGCCGGAGCAGTAACCTAACACAGAGCCAAGGATCGCGCGCGATTTTTCCTTCCTCTTCCGTATCCTATCCTCACCCTTCACTTACACTCAGACACACATACTACTAGACAATCACACTTGTCGGGAGCTTAGACCTTGGACCGGCTGGGTCGATGCACCCCCGTCGTAGGTCGGCACCAGATCTCACCGGCCAGCGGTGGAAGATCACCGCCACTTTCCTTGATGACTATTCCGCGACCCAGGACTATTCACGTTAGCCATTTATGCGCCCTGAATCTCTCAACTAATCAATCAAAACAACGTAGTCGCGTAGCCCAACGCTTAAAAAACTAATGGCATCTCCTATTATTTCTAACGTAAGCAATTTTCTAAAATCAGGGAGTTGAACGAAAATTAAGCTTAAGTCATTTTTTAAGCATCCTTCTCCATCTGTGGAACAAATTTAAAGAAACATATTGTCTTTTGAGATTTTTTTATATTTTGCATTTACATTTAACACAAATTACGAGACTAGTTTTTCTTCAACTTCCTCAACTTCTCGTTTGTTTGTTTTTTTAATTGTCTTCCACGACAATTTTCGCGCATGAGAGTATTTTCGAAAATTACAAAAATCAACATTAAAAGTACAATATTGTTGATACAGATTTCTTCTGAAATAAAATCTTTTCAAAAAAATAGATCTTTAAAAACATCTTAATTGCAAATTTGCAAAATTTAGAAATAATGCGAGAAAGTATGTGCTTTTGTAGAAGCACTAGTTTTAAATCTCTCTCGTGGCATTTTTATTTACCTTATGGGTATTTTGTATACATTATTGCTTTTGTAAAAAATCATTTGATGTACTAGTGCTTCAAATGATTTCTTCTGAAGTATCTCCAAAACTCAAAAACTTTCTGCAAAAACGATCTAAAAATGTCTCAAAAACCATTCCAAATTCTCAATGAAAATGTGCCCAGAGAAGCAGGCTTTACTCTATAATATTTTAAATTTCATATTTTAATTTTACTATGAACGAAAAATTGAATAAAGAAAAAAAACACATTTGGTACTGATAGGTAAAAGCTGGGAAGAGGTAGGAGCAAATCCAAAAAGCTAACCCAGTCTTAAGTGATAGGAAACTAAGTAGTACAAGAAGACTGAACCATTCTATAGCACCACTAGTTTTCATATGAATATCAAGAGTACATTAGGAATTATCAATAATTTCTCAAGTACCAGTGATATAATTCCCCATGCATAAATAAATACATTAATAAACTCAAATAAAACTTTTATATACACAAATAAGTTGAAAAAAGACAAAAATTGTAAGTTTCTCATAGGTCTACTATACATAGTACATTACTCAACTTCTGCCTTCTGGAATGATTTCATGCAGGAAATGGAAGTTGCAATGAATATATTAATTTAGAATGTTTGGTTTATATTCTAAATTACCTACTTAGCAATTACTAGAAAAATATACAAAAACCATACTCAACATTACACAATACATAAATAAGAACATTAACTAATGTTCAATGAACAATAATAAAAAAAAAACACAATTTCCATTAATGTAGTTTTACAAAGTATTTGAAATGTTTGTGACAATTGTTCTTAATTTTTTTAATAGGGGAACTGCTGGAACTGTTTCCAAACATTTTCTCTGCTATAGGTTCATTTTTACGTAATATTTTTGAACATTGAATTGTTTATTTTCTCATCTATTTCTAGAGAAGAAGTTTCATAAATATGTTTCATTTTGGTTTAATATTTATAATGTTTGTTTGTTTTCACAGAATAGTATAATGTACACATTTAGAGAGTAATCTTATTTGAGCAATGAAAGAAATAAAAGAACCCTTAGAGAGAGAGAACCCTTAGAGAATACTTAGAGAAAAATTTGTTAAATTTTTGTTGATAGGTGGGATTGATTGATTCTTGAATTCTTTCTCACAAATGTTTGCTTAGCACATGAGTAAATTAGTCACTGTAAACATTATTGTACAATTATTTAGGTTTATATAGTATATTTAAATATTGTTTAATATTGTTAATTTATTAGTAATATTTAATTTATTAATATGTTCTACAAGTATCTACTGCCATATACCAGTTAAAATAAAATAAATAAATAGGGGGCTGAAAAATGCACCTGGTCCTTGCCCATTTCTTAGTCTTTGTATGCGTTTCATTTTGGTAACTAAAACCCCTACATAAAATGAAAAAAATATTTCTCAAAATATTTGTTGTTATTATTATTATTGAGAGCACATTTTAAATAGGCTAAAATGTTGAAGATTCAAATAAAATTCAATTATTTTTAGTACTATTATTCATTCTGTGTAAAATAATCATAAGAAGAAAACTCACAGTAAATACATTCTGCACACTCACCTGTACATCTACAAGTTTGATTACTGAAGTATCCTTTCTATCATACCATTGCCAATGATCAAGCCATTGCCTCAATAACTCAATAGGAGGCTGAGCACCATATGTTTCTTTAAGGGGCAAATTTACATCATCCACAAAAAACACGTATCTTTTCCCAAGAGGTGGTCCAAACACACCTAAGAAAAGTATTAGTGTCTACATTGATGAAAGTGCATTAGAAACATACAATTTTACAGGGCTATAGGTATTTCAATATCTACTAATTGTTGCAACAGGATGAACATATACACAATGCTCTGTATAAGCATTGTGTACAAGCATGTACACAATGTAGGCAGTACATTTTCTGCAAAAACAGTAATAACTATATGTGACATTTAGGACAAGAGAAGACTACCCATATTGACTAACCGGAACCAAATAAGAGGGCATCTCACCAAAAAACAAAAACAAAATATTAAAAAGGAAAAGCTTTTTAGGGAGATAAATTTAAAACTTTCAATCAAAATAATTACCATCCTAAGAGGATTTCAAGGAATTACTTAACTTTAATTTATTATTTTTCAAGAACGTGAGAATTTCTTTCATAACATCTTTTTAATAATATTAAATAAATAACTTTATACAAAATCTCATTTTAATAACTTTAAAATACAAATCTTTAGCAGTAAAGAGGTTTAAGCAGTGGTTATTGCCCTTTTATCAGCAATTTTTATCTTAATTAGGAATTTCTTATATTGTTGTGCAGCAATGCAGCACAGATCTTTGATATTTGAGGCACCATGTGAATTGGCAATATATCCTGAGATGGACAATCAAAACTCTAGGTGGTGCTTAACAGAAGAACTGATGAAATCAAGAAACTTAGAACATCTTCACTTACCCAAGGGTCTAAATGAATCCTAAGAATGCACTCTGGATTGTTGTATTGTCCAATTTCATTAATTTTGATTCCTTTATATAAACATTTCAGAATGTGTAAAGGGCACATAATACGGATTAATGGAAACCCTAGCAAAGCAGTAATACTAATTTTCCTTTAAGGAACATGTGTATGCCTGTGATATGCCATATAATCTTAAGTATGACAAATATATAAATATTTATTATTTATCAAATATTGACTATGATTGTTTCTTAATTAGAGTAATAATTTGTAAATGTAGAAGGCTGCTATGATAAGTGTTTCATATTTAATGTAGTCCTCTTTACAAGATTCTCAATTTAAGTTTTGTTACGCTTAAATATTACCTTTTCTTCTTTTATCCAATTTACCCATAATAATATTTTGTGTCATATTGGAATTAGTCTGAGCAGAGAAATTAATAATATGTGGCATGTATACTTGAGTATTCAATTTGTTGAGTAAAAGATCCTGTGGAAAAAGAAATTAAAATATTCCATTGTGTTCTATCCTTATATCTTTTTTTCTTAAATAGGAATTGAGTTTATGTTCTGAAGAATTTACCGTAATATACACTGATTTTCCTGTTCCAGTTGGTCCAACAAACATCACAGGTTTTTGATGAGTAATTAATAGTTTCAAAAGCTCCATATAACGGATCGTTTCAATGGTGGTCACTATAATTTGATTCACTGGTATGTCTCGAGGAATTGCTGGAGCAGTAATCAGATCATCAGACCAAGGTTTCCATTTTCCCTTTCCCTGCACAAATGACATCTTTCATTTTAGAAGCTTACTTCCAAACCCAATTAACATTAAACTTCATAGACATTTTTACAAACCTCTTTTACAAATTTATAATCAAAAACCAGCCCTCTCATTGGTATAATGAAAATTAGAGGTTTTACATGAGGAGCAATTGGATCAGGATATGCCATTTGTTTTACTAGATCCTTTGGGAAATCTTTCAGCATCAACCCTCTATAAACTTCTGAAAATTGTTCTCTTGCATGAGAATCAAGGGTTGCAGACAAAGCCCACATACATGAAAACAAGAAAACACCCTAAAACCAAGCATGTTTTATAGAATAAAAACCAAATGATTCATATTTTCAAAGTGACCTGTATTTCCTACCTCTAACTGTGCACGAATATCTAAATCTGATAATTTTTTGGCTATATCTGGTTTTTGGTAATCATCCAGAAAACAGTCAATCAGATTCATAACTCCTTTTATCAAACCAGTATCTGTAGTTGGAGTCAATTCCTGGAGGCAAAGTTGATAAAAAATATTTACACTTCAAACTTGATCAAAAGGAACATTAATTTAGGTTTAATAGATCAATGTACGAAAAAAAAATAAGAAACAACCTAGATATAATCAATATATTATATTTTAAAATTTAAAATGTTTAAATGTATTTACAAATTACTTATCTCCCCCCGCCCCTTTTTCTAAGGTGAAAATTAAATAATTGTTATAAAAATACAATTTTATCACAAGAAAACTTTTTTTTTCCCTTTCCCTTTCTTTTCTTTCTTTTTCTTTTCTTTCTTCGTAACAGTACCCATCATTTGAACACTTGTTAAAATTTGGCTTTGTAAGAAGTGCATTTATTTTATATATTTTTTTCTTAAATTTTTATATTGTCCTTCATGATCCGCCGATATATTTTGTGTTGAATCCTTGGGGCTGCATGTGTATCATTGTCTATTGAGTGTGATGTGATGACAAAATGTACAGTTCCAACACCAAATCTGACTATTCGAAATATTTGAACTTAGCTTCCTTTCTGTTTAAGCTTGTTTCATTTCACCAGAATCAGTTTCGAAGCACCAACTACCACTACGCTGCTGCTCGCTCCACCAACTTTAATGCGGCAAGCAATCTATCGCTATTGCTATCGCTATCTCTATCTCTATCTCTGTCTATCTCTATCTCTCTCCATCTTTCCGGGTAGCCTGGGATGAGTATCTTGCTACACTAGAAACGGAAATGGGACATGGCAGGGAGAAAATATCACTATTGTGGTAATAATTGCCTACTAGGATTGAACGTCTGCTTGAACAGACTTATGTGGTTAACACTTCTCATGTTGACCTCAAAAACGTGTACCAGCCTGCACTGCACATTAAAATGGGTATTGTGAAAAACTTTGTGAAAGCCAGGGACAAAACATCACGTGGTTTCATGTATTTGCGAGAGTAGTTCCCAAGAATCAGAAAAACAAAAATAAAGGAAAGAAAATTTGAAGGCCTGCAAATTATAAAATTAATGGCTGATAAGCATTTCGTCGATTTGTTGACTGATGCTGAAAAAAGTCATGGTTGAATTTCACAAGTGCAATTTAAAACATTTTAAGCAACCATTAGGCAGAATTATCATGATATTGTACATAAACTATTGAGATCATAACATCATATGAGATATAACATATCACTTGAACAACATTTTTGAAAGATGATTTGGACTTACTCCTAGATAACATTGGGACCGTTAGTGAAGAACGTGGCAAAAGGTTCCACAAAGGCATTTTTCAAATGGAAAAGTGTTATCGAAAGGTAAAGTGAAAGGTAGCTTCTAGCACATAAGAGACCAAAGAGGACCAGAAAAATGCATCACTGAATAACATTAAATATTAAAAAAATTTGAATTCAAAATATTTCACTTACAGTTAAAGAGTGAAACTGTACAGCTGATATGTTCATTTTTCTTATTTATTAGGGAGTGTGCTCATTTATGTGTGTAATGTTTGTTTTAAATTTCATTACAGAAAACACCAAATACGCCAGAAATTTAATAAATGATATTGATAAATATGTGCCTGGGCAAGGTTGGATTTCTTCAGCTAGTGTCTTATAAATATTTTACCTTGTATCCACATTTTCGCACAAAATATATTAAAACAGGTATGAATCTGTCAAACATCGAGTTGAGAACTTGTTTATTGGAATCTGAAATTGTTTCAGGCATGAGGTTGAGCCAAGACTCAACCAAAGGCTTCCAACCCAATAAAATGGGTTCCATATAAATCATACCACATCTTGATACCTACAAATGCAATACAAATGATAATGGCTTGCGTTAATATTATTGTATTTATATCAAGAGAACATAAAAAAAATTACAGTTGCAGGTGAAGCAGCTTCAAGATCCATTGGCTCAAAAATAAGATTAGTTGTAGGAGCGAGTTGTATGATTTCTCCTGACATTAGACATAATTTCTTGTTGTCATCAAGTACAGTATTCATACTCTCAATCCAAATAGCATCTACTGGACCATCAAAAATCAACCACTTCCTATAAAATAAAATAAAAAATTACATTACATGACTCATTAAAATTGTATTCATTTTTCTCACTTTTACCTGTCTTTATTTGGTGACATAGCAAATGCTCGATAACTCACAGCAAGAATTCCATCAGACCATTCATGTGATATTGGATCAAACTGGCCATACAATTGCCCAAGAGTAATAGACTTTGGATTTATAACAATGATTTGGACTTTATGTTCATTCATCTCACCCTGTAAATCAGATCCTGTTAAAATATTATTGTCTGTAATTTCATAAATTTAATTTCATTAATGTATACATACTTTTTCTTCAATTAACTGCAAGCCAGCAGCCAGCATACGATATGCGGTAGTTTTACCTCCAAATGGAGGGCCAACTATCATGAAACCATGCCGGACAATCATCATTTCATATATTTGTTGAATTTTTTCAAGAAAATTTGGGATACACTGAACATTAGCATTTGTACAAGCTATTTTCACTTCTCGATTCAGAATTGTGTAATCGGGTTCTGGTAATACTATTCCAGGAAACAAATCAGATGTTATACCCTAAAATGAAAACGTATCCATTTAAACAATGTAATGGCGTAGGTAACCAAAATTCGAATTAGATTTTGGAATCCCGTTGTCAAAGGGACCACATGTGTGAAAAATGCTATGCAATAGGTCTTTTCATATTATTTCATTTGAGGTAAACATAGAAGACTCAGTAGTGTGTTAATATAAACTTCATTGTCAAAGTATAAATTATCGGCTGGGGAGGCTCCGGGTGTCCTACCGGAGCATTATCCTAACAACCGGACCACGGAAAACGTGCAATCTTTCCTTCCTCATCCACGTATCTTCCTCTCGCCCCACGCTTACATCCATCACACGTCAGGAGACCAGTCGGGCTTGTCCCAGCTGGGGAGTTTGCGCCGCTGGCTGAGATACCTAGATGAGGAAACCCTGCAAGGCAATGGAAAGGTCGGCATCGGGATCTCACGTTCTAGCGGGAAAGGAATTCCGCCGTCTCTGGAGATCCTCCACCTCAGGTTAGTAAGCGAACGCCCTAACCATCTCGTACGGTACTGCACTCTAACAATTATCGCAGAAGCTGGATAAATACTATTATAGTTCAGTCGGCAGGTACTGAAAAAAGGTCATAAAACCCTTTTCTTTGGATATGTTGTATGTACACAGGCACTATATGAAAGTCCAAGTTTTCGACTTCCCAGCCTGCTAAGTCCCAAAAAATCGGTATTTTTCAATTTTTTTTCGGGGTATTCTCTATAATCAGGCTCGGACCCACAGGGGGGGGGGGTTAGAGAAATTTCCACCCGCCAAAAAAATGGTTTCAGTAACTATAAATTCTAACTTCTCACTAAACTTCTAAATTACAATTGGTGTTAAAAAAGCGCGTACTTTCTCGCCCGTATTTTCACGCAAAATTACGCGAAAAACACTCAAATTTTCGAAAAATTGTAAATGACCTTATTTCAAAATACATATTTAAGGGACAGATTTCATTAAGGAAAAAATCTCTATCATTAATATTTTAGTTATAGAGAGATTCCGAAATTTTTTTCAGCTTTTGAAATTTTTCAAAAGTCATGTTTTTTAACATGAGGCCTGCACCATTTTCTTAAACGTCCTTCACACTAACAAAAAAAATTAATCAAAAACCATGAAGACTTTTTTTTTTGAAAAATGTCCCACGGGATTCATGTAAAGTACCCCCAAAATTGAAATATCTGTTTCAAATTCCAGGGGCCGTGACATCAGTTAGATCAGTAGGGGAATATCAGTTTTGGAGAAAATCGGCTGAAAGGTTTAGCCTCCAGCTTTGTTCACAGACTGACAGAAGTTTGTCGTCATTCGATTTTTCGGTATCAAGGACCCACAAAACATTGATTTATCCCTCCCCGCCCCCAAATTCGTCTCCGAATCCGCCTCTGCTATAACTCTTTAATTTTGTCCTGAAGAAAAATGATTTGTATCGATTTTAAAGATGATACAATTTCCTACAACTTTTGTATACAATTCTTTTTTCGAAACCAATTATCAAGCAAGAACGGGTTTTTCAAAAAAATACATTTTTTTCATTACTCCAAAATGTGTGGAAAAAGACTCAACTGAAAATAAAGATAATTATTTCATGAAATATTAGTATTTATCTCATTATCAGTATAATTGTAAGTAACATTGCCTCACAAATGTATCCATTGCCGAAATATTAATATACAAAAAAATTGATGGATGAGTAAGTGTATATTTGTCTCCCAATTTAACTCTTCAACGCAGAACAATGTCATTTCAACAAAACGTGGTATATACATTATTACTCGAAAAATAACTCGGGCCTTCCGGAGTTATGTCAGGATCTGGGAGGTCGAAAACATGTGTTTTTAACTAGTGCCTATGTACATACAACATACACAAAGAAAAAGTCTTTATCAACCTTTTCCAGGTAAAATATACTTACCGAGTGGGCTATTAGGTGTATGACGTCAGCAAACCAACACCTCACAAATGCACTGTTCCTGATTTGCTTTCACTGCTAATCGTAGATTACAATGTTACTTCAGCCTGGTGTGTTTGTTTAGTTGACCTCAATATACAAGTGTTGTTGCATTATTGAAAAACCGACATTTTACTGTGTATCAATTTCTTTGACAATGTATTAAAATAATGCAAAGATTATTCAGAGGACGGACTTGACCTTCAACTCACAGGTCAATCAGAGCAATTTAGTGATTCGGGGCGCGTCAAACTGCTAAGATTACTACTCCCGTAAATGTAGTACATGCTTTTCCCTCGGGATGTTGTGGTGATCTTCCCCTGCTGCATGGTAAGATTCGGCGCCAACCAAACTCGGCAAGCGGGGTTTCCCCAAACAGGAATCTCCCATCAGCGGAGCACCGCCCCAGCGCGGACAAGCTCTAAGCTCCCGACACGTGTGGTGGAGTAGTGCGTGTAAGGGGAAAGGATATGACAAGGACGGGAAAGGAAAGACCGCGCGTGGACCGGGGTCCATTTGTTACGAAACTGCTCCGGCATTCACCTGGCATTGATCAGGGAAACCACGGAGAACTACAGTTCGGAGCATTTTTTCTCCTGGCAGCGGCTGAATTCGATCTAGCTATGAAGCTAATGTCGATAATCCTGCCTCCGTCGGGCCTCGAATCTAGAACTTCTCGCTCAGAGGTACTGCAGTGACATCTGTTGATGCCCTGAGCTACCTCTTCCTGTACGCTGACTGAGATAAACATAAGAGAAAATAGATAGTATTGTTTGCATAATTGTAATTATATAAATGTAAAATTATTGAAGTGGTTAGGCGAAAGAGTAGGCTTTATGGCTTGAGCCACACAGAAATAAAAACATTATTATTGTTATTGTTATTATTGTTATTGTTATTATTGTTATTATTGTTGTTATTATTACTATTGCATGATCATACTTGGAAGAGAGGAAGATCATGAGACAGAAATTTTGGCAAATTGACATCTTTAATGGAGCGAAGCATTAGAATATCTTCCGATTCTTTCGGATATTTCAGTTTAAGATTTCCAGCAGCAACCAACACTGATTTCACTGCCCTCATACCTACAAAAGCAAACAAAAAATAATAAATATCCAGAATAACTATTATTTATTATAGCGAGTATTATTTTATCAATTAATTTTACCATAATCATAATGATTATTAGAAGACAGTTGTTCTGAACAAAGTTTGTAGGTTGCAACAATTTTTATAGCCAAAGGTCGGGCTTCAACGAATCCACATGAATACAGTACTATTTCTGAAATCATAGCATAATCAGGAACCATCATTGCCACAGGTCGGAACAGGGCCTGTTAAACAAAAATATTAATAAAACATCTTTATTGAAATAATGGTATTTTGGGCAAAGAAAGATTGTTGTGCACAATACGTTTATATCTTGTTTCAGTAATACAGTTTTTGTGCGGAATAGTGTCAGAGTTAAGCAAAATTACAATAAAATAATATATTGAAAATTGTGTGAAACGAGAAGCGAATAACTCAAAGAAGAATTTGATGTAAGTATTAATAAATGATCGTGAGTACAGTTTTGACACATCAACTATGGGCCAAGTATGTTTAAGAGTCAATAATTTTCTCTAGCAGTTCCAAAGATAAATTTCTTGGGTTCATGGATTCTTCGCTAGAGCACGCAGATTTTGCAGAACCTAGGCGCTTCACGGTATCTTTATCATACTTCTCATTTATCGTTGAACACTTTGTAACTCAAGGATGGAGTTGACTCGTTAAGAAAGAGGAAAAGTGTCATCTAGCGAGACTACTTCGACTGATTTCCAGAATTTAATAAGTTGATATTTTATTACACCTATTTTTTAATTCTTTGCTTCCTTTTTTTACGCATCGCGTCTTTTGAGCCCTTTTTGAGAATTGAGCATTTGGGCATTGGAGTAATCCTCCTTTAAGTTATTTTACGTTTGTCTCGTAACGTCGCAGTTAGTTGATGCCTTTTATCCCTTTACCAATTGGCTCGGTTCAGTTAGTAACCTAGGATGCCGGACGGTTACCCATCCGGGAATCCGTGGTGTCTTGGGCACGGCAGTTTGAAATTCTGAAACTTTCTTCCCATTGATGGGAGATTTTATAGCTGTAACTGACGGGGGTATTTCCTGGTATCTTCTTATTTGCTTATTCTGCCTAATTTTACTCTTAATATTTCACCCGACAATAGCCCAAAGTATGTACCGAAGCTGACTAATCACGATAAATTTTATAGTATGTCAGTTAGACCATTTATACAGATATTCGGTTATGAAAAATTTACGTAAGATATTTTGTTTCTTCATTACGGGGTACTGGACACTCTCTTTACTATTACCCGGGAATAATAATACTGTAACGAATATTGCATCATCAGCTGGTATTCGCTGCGCGGATTGCGTCATCTACTGGCGCCCCTCCCTCCCGAACTGAATGGTTCCGGGTTATATGCGAGTCGCGTAGAGGTGTGGCGCACGTTCCCGATGGCTCGAGGCGAGCGCCGGCCAGGTATAAATTCTCCGCTGCCGGCGGCCGCATGAGTAGTAGTCAAGAGGTAGGAGCAGTCAGCGTATGTAGTCAGTGAGCATGCGGTAGTCTGTCTAAAGTGGAAGCTCAGCTGTTAAGTGGGAATTGATGCGAACAGTGGTGCAGTAGGTGAACAGCAGGCTGAAGTCTGAAGCTGAGCTGTGAAGTGTGCATCACGGATAACAGCAATGCAGAGGACCCTGGTATGCGCAGTGAATTGTGGTCTGCGCAGCGAATTGTGGTCTGCGCAGTGAATTGTGGTCTGCGCTGTGAATTATGGTCTGAGCTGTGAATTATGGTCAGCGCAGCGAATTGAGGTCAGCGCAGTGTACTATGGACAGTGCATCGGACTGTGCGATAGTGTAGAAGTTAATAGTGTAAATAAATAATTAGAAGAGTGAACTGTGAAAATAAATAATCAAGAGAACAGAGTCGTGTGTAAGGAAAATAATCGAGTTAAGAACACAAGGACTGCGTAACATATTTGTAAATAAATCAAGTACTTTAGTGTAGCATTGTTAACGAAATAAACGTTTTTGTTAAATATTACTTGTTAATATATTAATTGTTATTTGTTATTATATTAAATACAAATATATTACTTGTTAATATAATTCACCACGGAGAAAAGTCACAATACTTACTTCAGGTTATCAACATGGCCATCTATAATTTGCAGTAAACATGCGTATCACATCCAAACATTACATTTGATAAGTGCACTCTATTTCAAAAACATTATCATGAAACTACTATTATTGTGTAGTGTTCTTTTTCTAGATCCCTCCCCTTGCATGCATGGCCATTTTCCTTTTTTAAATCTTAATCTAGGATTCTTAATTTACTCCAAAACTTGACTTCTTACAATAGATAAGTTACTATGTCCCCCTTTTAGTCACTTTCCTTTCGGGGTTCTCAGCCATCTTGACAGTCGTCCATCCATTTCAAGATCCATTTTTGTTGAATCTGGTCCAAACCAATGGCGTATGCTTCCTCCACACACGCGATATTACATGTCTATTTTCAACTTTTCCCTACTAGTTACTGGATTGTAAAGCATTACCAAGTCGTAAACACGTCCCTGCATCCGAATACTACTTCGTCAAAATATCTCTCCATCCGCACATCACGATCTCGGAATACCGTCTGCCCATTTGTCTTACGCACTCTTCATCTGCCTCCTTCCCTACACCTCGCACACCTTATATTTTTTTCATTGGTCACTGATTCTCTAGCACCCTTTTTGTTTATTCTTTGATTATAAATTCGTAATAATCTTCCGAATTTACTTTCTCACTCACGGAAATTGCTCACATGTTCTTTCACTATTTTATTTACCAATATATTCTTTATTTTCCCCGCTATCAATTATGTCGCTATTCCTTTGTATTCCTATAAGTTACCATTCAATCCTTTGCTTCTCTTCTGTCCCCCATTGCAGCTGTCGTTCTACTTATATATTTATCCGAATTTATTGTTCCTATTCACACACCCTTGTGATAACTTATCATAGTATGAGATGTATTTTTCTCGAATACAGCAAAAGTACGCTTACGAAAATGGCGTAGAGACCATTTTCGGTGAACACAGTATTTTCGAAAATTGCAAAAAATTAATATTTTAAAATGGCAATATAATTGAAGATGTGTTTTACTTAATGAAATATGTTCTTCGAAATGAGTTTATCACATAAGGTCCTGTTCATTTTTTAAAAATATGAGTAGTCTTGTGTAATTTTTGCAATCTTTGAAACTGCAAATTCGAATTTCATGTGCTTCTTTTGCTGAAGAACCTTTCCTGATATGTCAAATCGGAATACGACAATGGCTAAGCCGTGACATATTTCTCACTGTTGGGCTGTTTGCAAACGCAATTTTGGATTGTTAAATTTGTGTTGATGTATTAGCTTAAACAGTTTTAATATTAATTAGTTTTTTCACCTACGCTTCGATTACAAGGTTAAGATGTGTTAATATGGACATAAATTGCGTAATTAAAATACTACTAATGCGAGAAAGTACGTGCTGTTGTAGCACCTCTAGTTATGATGTTGTTTTGGGGGGAAGGTCCTTTCAAGAAAGCATGACGTGTATTTAGGAAAGAGTAGAAATCGAGTCTGGGTGCAGATGGGTCAAGTCCACGAAATTCACTACTGCAGTTGACTCCTTTTCCAACGCTCAAAATTACTTCCTTGGTAATTTCCTCGACCTACTTCTCCGACCTCCTACTACTCAGTAACTCCCTCGATCCTTCAAACACTGACGATTGGTAGATCGGAGCTAAGGATTACACTTCCTAGCAAAATAAACACTTTACATTAAATATAATTGTACATAAATAAATTTTATTTAAAATTGTAAAATTGATAGAATAAATAAACATTTCAAACAAATTTTGTAGTTTTCTTTTTTAATTAGGACATTTGCCTCTTATTTTTAAGTCATTTTATACGTAATTTTCTACCTGGTCGTGACGTTCACGAAAACGTTAGACCCACGAAGCATCAGTTTCAACATATTTAATCAGCAACTTAAAAAATTCTTTGGCTTTTGCAAGAAAAATTGGTTCATTATAGAGATATTAAAATTTAGTTGAATTTGAAGCGACTACAATAAGGACTAGTCAATATCTTCGTGATGTTTGTTGTTTCTTATATTTTAGGAGAAAAAAAGAGTTTCTTTCGAAATAGTATTTAATTTTGTCCCTCTTGGACCATACTGTCGTAATGGCGGAAAAATAAAATTTTCTAGCTATTGATGCATTTCTCTCACCTGCTTCATGTTTCTATATCTGGGCCTTCAGGCAAAGACAATGGTAAGCGCCACTCCGACCATTTTCTAGATTAGATCGTGATAATTTTGTTCCCTTGTTCCACTTCCCATCTACACTCTCTGTTTGACCGTCTCTATCATATTTTAGCATGTTTAGTACCAGCTTAAATAGTCTCCGATTCCAATGAGGGCGAGATGGGAACAGTAAGGGAAAACAAAAAGCTAAGCGCGATTCTCATTAGAAATGGATACTACAAGGAAGAAAATGGTGTTTAGCTATGGAATTGTGTGCGTAAATTGTCTTCCCATGTCTTAAAAAATTTAGAAGTTGTTGCAAGTAATGCTTATGTACTCAAAAGTAACTGAAGAGAATAAACCAGACTCTGAATAAAATGCAATAAACATATGGAACAAACTTAATCATATAGATTTTAAATTTGGTGGAAGTATTATGCGCAAAAGTTTAAACAAATAGACTGTATTGTTTTAAAATTACGTGCCTATTTATTATTTCAAATAACTTAATTATTTTTTTCATTCTCAGATGAAGGTATACAACAGCAAAACCAGATTTTAAAGCTCTTTGGAGACTTCCACATGCCGAACTCTTTTGTCTGGACATATTACGGTAGAAGAGAATACTGTCAAAAAATAATGAGTAATAGAGAAGCAACACATTGTAATGTATTACTAATTTCCAAGTTTGTGGTCCAAATAATCCAAAATACAGTAATATTTGAAACTTGTTTCTCTTTATTCCTCAACGATACCAAGGATTCGTTAGTCAGTTATGATGGGAATACAAGAAAATACAAGTAGTGGAGAGATAAAGTTACTTGCATTGAAGTTGGCATTAAATTCAATTAACTTCACCTTTAATCACCATAGAATAGACCTTCCCAATATGGCATTATTACGTCTTTAAACATGTTTGCAATTTCATTATTGTTTTCATTTACAAATATATCTTGATTTGTGTAATTGAAAATGTTTGGGGCAAGATAATGGAAAGCGCCTCTGAAAATGTTGGTGGGGTCTAGTAGACCCCAATGCGCAGTTCTAGTGCAACATTTGATCGTTGTAGACGATTTTTTATTCCTGTTGGTCCGTGAAAACAGGTCTTAATATAAACAGGTCGTTGTTGTGGTAATGTCACTAAAAACAGTATATATTTGTATTTTCCGATGCTTTTACGTTAGTCCAAACTACAATTCAGAATTCAGTCGTTAAACGCAGTTCGTCGCTATAAGAGTCGTTGTGATCTCTACTGTAATTCTAATTCAAATTAACCGCTATAAATTATTTCGGAGAAATTAATTCTGTTCGTGTTCGGAGAAGAGGTTTGAAGGGGGGAAGGGAACAGCGGCAACTATTTATAAGTAATATTTAACTTTTGCTTCGTTCTTTGAAGTGCTTTGAAACGCTGAATATATTCTTCGCAATATACAGATTTACCTACTAGCAAAATAAGCATTTGTTTAGGGTCCCCCGTCCGTAGGATCTCGTGTCTGAGAAATTCATAAACTATTCTCAAAATATGTCATAAAATGTTTGTATCTATGGAAATATCATTCGATACCATTCGTTACCACTGCAACAGTGTCAATCATGATTGACACAGTTTCTTTACCATAAAGTCGTTCAACCTCTCACTCATTATTAAACAACATGCTCAAAATAACTAAACAGAGAATGTAGTAAAGCATTGGTGGTTTTCACGGCCGGAGTCAATATTGTTTATGTCGCTTATGGGCCGTGATTCAATTGGCTTTGAACTGCCGAACGTTTCGCCCACTACTGCTGTGGGCATTCTCAGTAGCGAGGTCTCGGGCGAAGTGTCCGGGACGGTGGCTGACTGAGGTCAGTCGCCAGTCAGCCACCGTCCCGGACCCTGACCGCAGTCGCCAGTCAGCCACCGTCTCGGACAGTTCAAAGCCAATTGGACCACGGCCCATCAGCCCGGAAGACATGAATAATAGAGAATGTAGCGGTACAAATATAAAATTACAGAAGGCTGCTCAATATGATTCCGATTTAGTCACACATTTTAATATTAATTTTAATATTTAGTTGATCATTATTCTTCTTAAATTTACTTGACACATAGGTTAATTGACGCGGAAGTGATTAATGCGTTAATATATGTTTTGTAGAATCTATTCTCTTGAAATACGGCTCAGAATACGAAATGTTGAGATTAACTACACGTGTGCGTGTGAATGTATTAACACTACTCAAAAGTTTTAAACTGAACTATAAGTAATCGAATGTAAATAAAGATAGAAAATAAACATACCTTCAAATTATCAGGCAATTCACTCCTTCCAGCATATCCTGGGTTCATGGTGATAAAGACAGCACACGTTCTGTCAAGTTCTATATCTGTTCCTTCAAATTTCATTTTTACCAACCCAGCATTGACAGCTCTCTGAATTGTCAAAATTTGTTGGGCAACAACTGATAACACTTCCAAATCTATGCGATTGAATTCATCAAAACATGACCAAGCACCACATGAGGCCAAACCCTGTATGGTAGCAAATAAAAACGAAAAGTCAATCACACCTTCAAAGTGAGTTTTCTTTTTTAATTTTGTGAAATATTCCAATTTAAAACGACGTTTCGAACTTCATATTTATTCAAGACTGTAATACCAATAATATAAAATAATATGATATAATAACGTGATTTTTTAATTACGTCAGGCGACGGAATAACTTAACGATTCCCCACTTGGATGCTGGTTTGTACATTAACAACTTCTATTCCTTTCGTTGATTTTATTCATTCGCAAATTATCTTAAATTAACAGATCATGAGTTAGTGTTTCCATTTATTTTTTGAGCTTCCCTTCGCTCAAAGCTTCCCGCTCCTTCGATCCCGTCGGCAAGGTTTGCTGCCATGTTTTTCAACCGAGCTGTTGTTCGAAAGAACCATTTTTCGAGCGCGCGCATTTTCTACGCTACGACAGCAGGTGCCTGCTCCTCCAGGCCCAGCTCCATTGCCCAGGCCCAGCTCCTCCAGGCCCAGCTCCAGCCCCAGCTCCATAAGATGTTTTCTCATCTTCCAGCAGGAGCGCTGTGAGATTCGGGCAATTACAAGGTCACTATAAATTTTGTAATGACCTAGAGCGATTACAAGGTCACTCGATGCCAGGTCGTGTTCATACTTACGAGTACCCTAGGCACAATCTGATGATTGGGGCGGATTTTAATGAAATGTTATTTTTTCTTTTTACTTTAGACCAATGCCGTTTAGTATAGAAATTTAGTTTATGTTACAACAAAAGGAGATGACCCATTTTTATACGTCATTTTTTTTTTTTTGCATTTTTCGTCGATTTCGATTAATATGTCATTTTTTTCCTTTTTTACGTCATTTTTAATTTTTTGCTGATTTCATCGATTTTAATGTCATTTTAATGATACTTGCTTCAAACAATATTTACAAGGGGCAATAAATGTTCACCTCAGTTTTCCTTATAATTTCTTATAGAAGCCTTTTCGATTTCTTCACTCATATATTGTAATGTCAGCAGTTGAGAGTACTATGTAATCTAAGGTTTCTGTGACACCTATCGACGCCATTGTCAGTTCGGCCGATTTCGCGATAAATAAAGGCAGAGATTTTCTTTTAAAGGACAGTCTAAACCAAAAGTTTTCATGCGGAGTTCACTTGAACAAAAGTAATTAGTTCTCGATTACATCAGGATAATTCCCAAAAGCTTGAGTTGTTCATCGGAAGTGGTTTTGATCAAATTTTGCTATGTAATTTTTCTTTCTTTTTAGGTCATTTTTAAATCATCTTAAGATCATTTTATTGATCATTTTTGGCAATGTTGTAGGTCATCAAAATCCGCTCTCTACTGATGAACAATATATAAAATGTTTGTAGAAAAGCTTAAGCATGATCTAAGACCTATTCTTCCAAAAATTAGCGTTCACTTTGCACAGAACCGTGCTCGGGCGCAATTATATATATAATTGTATTCAGTGTGCGTTCACGCCAAAGTCGATATTGTCAAAGTCAGAAAGAGATAGATGAATGACATTGCGCAATTGTTATAATTGTTCCTGATGTTACCAAACGTTGCGAGCGAGATACATCAGACATTCACTAGAATTGCACGTTTGCAGTAAAATTGCAATGGTAAAAATGTCTGCATAACAAATTGATGAATCATTAAAAGGAAGAAAATGTGTAATTTTTTGTAATTTTGCTTTCTTCGAATGCTTCGTTTCAAAATTGGAAACAATTTATTTACATTACATATCTAGAATGAATGAAGTTAAAGAGATTTGCATATCATTAACTACCTGTCATTCTATTCTTTGAAACATTTTGTTCTGGAAACTTTTATCTGCATCGCAAATTCAATTTTTTGTAATTAATAGACACTTTAATGGCATTTATTAATATCGCCGCTCATATCAGTTAACACAGCGGTTCAAAACCGCAAACGAAAAAAATGCAAACACCACAGAATTATCAAACTTCGAGATTTTTCGCCGCACGATATACTCACTCAGGCACGACTAAGCAAGGAAATGGCAAGAAATCACTAGAACGCCGCGTGTCAACTTGGCCCTCGGCCCTACGAGCTCCTGTACGACTGAGAGAACAGGTACACTCGAGGAAACATTAGGGCTAAATGCACCGAAAAATACTTGTAGGAAAATTGAATAGATCGCAGCACTATCACAGGGGGAATTTACTTTACTGATAACGTCTAACCCAATGGTCCGATTTTCGATCTGTAAACGAAAATCGGTTCAGACATCAGTAAAGTACATTTTACTTATTTTGATGCTGCCACGTGGTGGCAACAAATTGTACTAGTGTCGGGACATTAGCCTTAAATTTTGCGTCGAAAATGCCTTGGCCCGAGAGGTTGATAGCGATGGACATCCCTGTCTGCCGACAGCGCTATCTAACGTTTATTTTTGAAACTACGTTATTATTAATTAAATTATTTTAATGGGGAGCGTATAAAATTCTTTAATATCCATTGAGAGGTAAATAGTAGTAGTATAGTGGAAAAAAGACTTTCGTGATTCCTGCCCGTGAAACTGAATTGACATTAATTTTAGTAAACGTAATGTTCCTTTCAAGTTTCGTTAATATAAAATGTGCTGTTATAAGAGTAATATTAGAAATGCGAATGAATGTCTCAGTGGCAAAGAGTTGTTCCCGAACGTGGAGAGAAGCGGGTTCGATTACTAGATATTTTTTAACCATTCTACATTACAAAATATACACTAAATTACCAAATTCTACATTTATCTTGTCAACGTTGTGCATAATTTAGGCAAAATTCGCGATCGCGAATAACGAATGCGAACAAGCAGTTTTGAAAAACTGGTAATAAGATGTCTGGACGTGCGTCATTGAGACAAAAATAATACGATCTTAAATAAAATAAAAAAATTTAAAAAATTAAAATATTGCGCTATTATTTTCACTTTTATACGAACAAAACTGTTTTCATGCCGTAGAGCACAAAATATGACCATGACATTGCATTCAATAAAGCTCGGAAAGAGAGTCGTTTAGCAAGTAATATCTCAAAATTCTAGTGATATATCGACAACAAATGTCAACTTGTTTTTGTATCTGGAATTACTTCATTAAATCCCGTTTTGACATCTCCTGTTTGCCTTGATATGACTTTTATTTCTACTATACTTCTGTATAAAAGTAAATAAAATAGTAATTGCATGCATAGATTCCGGTATGCTAGTGATATATAATATGAATAAAGATGATGGAACTGTTGATGTTCTGCAATTACAATATTGTATTGAGATATATGGTATTGAGATTTGTAGCTGTAAAGTAAAATGAAATAAAATAAATTTCAAAATAGAATTTGCCGAAAACGAATCTTGAAGGCGAAAATGTTCCCAGACTTTGATTATGCTATTAAAGAGAAAAGTTAAAGCTCTCCCCATCATCTAATCAATATTTTGCAGCCTCAACAAGAACAATAGTGATTTTTCAAGCGAAAAACAAAGAACGCAAGTTGTTCAAGTATTTATTTCGGACTGTTGCCGTCGCGTAGTTTACCATCAACATTTTTGAAAATTCATTTTCAAAATTTGGCCCCGGTCGAGCGGTAGGCGTCGGTCAAGTCGCTCAGCTGACTGCATAAAGGCCACGCGTGGGAACTACTAACCCATCAGTTCTATATTATTTTGCTTTCGAAATATTTCTCTTTCATGCAATTGTTGTAATGATAAGGATTAATCGTCGTAAAATATTCGGTAAACTTGTAATTTATTATGGATTGTTTTACTACAGAACGGTTTCAACATCTTTTTCAAAAAAAATCTTTTAGAGAGAGTTGGCGAGAAACCTTATTCGAGGCCCCTGACTTCAGGGTCTCAGAAGGGTGCATCAGTTGCACCAGCACAGCTAGGCTCGGTCAGTTGTTCAATATTATCAATATCACCAGTAGCGGCTTCTTAGGGTAAGCAAGGTAGGTGCTGCCTACCCTGATTAATATGAACTAGTCCACATCTCGTAATAAAAAATTAAATGACTGCTACAATTTTAATACGGTGTAAGTACTATTCATCTGGAAATGTGTAATGAACTTTTCATTATCGTGGCACGAGCCATATTCTCATTTCAACCGTTTTCCAACAGCCCGCGCGACGTCTCGTTTCTTCTTGCAGAGACATACGATCCCTTGTACCTCTCCTCTCAGGATTGGCACTGCATCGCACCGTATTATGAGAAAGGTCCTGTAGTGATCGTAGTACAGTAGCATGCAGCATAGAGGTAGTAAGAAGGCATGCAGGGCCCATTATTTGACGCATGCGATTGTGCTTAGGCCAGCGAATTCTCTAGCTGCCCGCCCGCACGGAAGACTCCGATTTCCACTCATATTGCAAGCCGTGTAGCGAATGTGTTTAGTTTTGTTGACGAGTTAACAAGCGGAGATGGTTATTTAGAAGCTTTTTTTTATTTTAAATTAGAATGATCCGGATTATTAGTGTTACTTGATTTTTTTAAATAGTTTAATCTGATTTTACGTTTGCTACCCCGAACCTTTGCCTACCCCGAGCATATGTCCACTTATTCTCAAGAAATCAAGGGCAAGCACTTAAGAAATTAAATAAATAACATTAAGCAATTAAGTTACCTTGAAAAACTTTCCAAGAGCAATATAATCAAGACCATCAGAACAGTTAAACACAACACACTGCTTTGCTACAGCTTTGGCCAAGTCTTTAGTTGTTTCAGTTTTTCCTGTCCCAGCTGGCCCCTCTGGAGCGCCACCTATCAAGAAAAAACATTTGATGAATCTTCATCAATCATATTTCTAATAGATTATTCAAAATAATTTATAAATATTTACCGAGATGTAAACGTAATGCTCCAAACAATGTCCTATAACATCGATCTGTTAAAGGAGTAATCACAAGACGTGTTGAATTACCCAAGTACTCATAGCCATAAGCTAATTCTGAATTAATCATGCGAGTAAACAAATCTCCTGGCTGTTAAAGGAGAAAAATAATAATTGCCTTCATTCTCATTCAAATAGAATCTCACAATTTCAACAGAAAAAAATTACTCACACTGTGTTCAATCCAGTAATATCGTAATTGGCATAACCACTGAAAATCTGAAGGTTGAATTACTTTTTTATCCACTAACCCAACCAGAACATCTCTTGCATGAACATCTAAGACAACCAGAGCTCCTAAAACAATTATATTTTGTGTTAACAATTTTTGTTAACTATATCAGGTTAGCAGAAGACTGAAATGTTGAAATGAATTTTCCATAGAGACTAAAACATGGACCACCTCTATCCTAACCCTTATATCTTATTACATCTTACATCCATGTTGATTAGAAATTATCAATCTGGCTTCAATCAAAATTTTTGAAGAAATGTGGCAAAACAAAATAAAGAGGGAAAGATACTATACCTAAATTTAAATCAAAGTATAAAGGTCAATGCAGGAACATAATATGTGATGCTGTGAACTGCTATTGTACAAACCAACTAAACTCTCAGCAAGTTTAAAGACATTGCCAAATTTAATTAAATGATTTTTTTAACCTAACTTTACTCATACAAACATATTTAGTTATGTATTTAGTATATTTTTCTTCCATCAACAAATAGGTAAAAACGTGTGTATATGGCTTAGGGTAGTGATCAAAGAATTATGAAAACATGCACAGAATTCACTTCTCCCCATTGCATATTTGTGCTGTGCACGTTTTCATAATTCTGTCATCATTCTGAATTCATTCATCCCTACTCTAAGCTATATACAAATTGAATTCTGAATACAGAACGAAATGAGAATTTTTGGCAAGAATTGGTAACAAAATATGTGCTATGATGTAATCTATTACCAAGGGTAAATTAGGTAAGAGCTCTTATCCCTCATCATGTCCTTTGTGAAGGAATAATGCTTCCTGCCACGTCAACATGGAGAACAATAATTTGAATAATTATATTTCCCACTTAATATTAGAAGATGTGCACACACAAAATGAAGTTACGTTAATGTCCAGAAGAAGAAAAAAGGGGCCATTTCAGCATTTGCTCAAAGGATTAGGGAAACTGGATGAAAAACCTGATTGAGATGGAAGTCATTGACCCAGTTGATGTTCTATATTGTTACAGGTTTTTTAGAATTATACAGTTAAAATGGTAAATAATACATTAAATATCATTGTTGAAATTAATATTACTTTCCTTTGTGACGTTCTGTAGTTTCTAATTGTATAGAAACAGTTATGCAGAAGAATAAATTTTACTTTGAACTTAAACTTTTGTATCAAAATTAATCATTTAATGTCATCTGGCAAAGTATTGTAAATTAATGTACATGTATTGTATGTGAATTTTTTATAGTGACCTGTAGATATTGTTACCTGATGAATATAATTACTATGTTGAGTGTTATAGTTATAGGTATTAGCATTTGCTGAAAGTATATTCCCGCCCTTAAGCAAATCATTTTTGAAAAAAAACACTGATTCGTTAATCAAAAGACATAAGATAAGTACATCTTACCAAGGGTAATTCTGTTTTGATCTTTTAAAAATCCTCGAACCAGTTCCACAACTTTATTGATTTGCCCATTACATACATCACAATAGTCTTTAAGTCCTTTTAAGCCAGATTTCATCGCTTCGGTTACTTCAGTTGTCCAGTATGTTTGACTGACACACAGAACGGTTTGCCCTGGCCATTGCAATACCCAATAATCTCTATCTCTCACTGGATAATCATCAAAAGCACCATTAATCATCTTGTGCACACTCTTCTTCATGTCAATTTCCAATTCCTTTAACCACTTTTCAACTTGTCCTCTAGCAGCAGCTGTAGAAATATCATCCACAAGTGGAACTTCCTCGCCTTCTGATGATATCATTGTCGTCACAACTAGATCCTCAGTAAAATTTAGTCTTTCTATTCCTTCAAAACATTTTTTTAAATGAGGCTGTACCCTGTAGTAATAGTTAATATTGATGAAATATTAAAACAATGTAATAACGCATTGAAATATTATTTGATATTAGGCTACATAAAGTTAATGGTGTTAAGTAAATAATGAAGTTAATGAACACTGTGTTAGGTTAACATAAATATTGCACTCTTAATAGGTTCATAATTTTGAACATTAAGCAATTGAATAGCTCTATATGAACTATTTACCTCATAGGATCCTTAGTTTCAGAGAGGATTTCAAGAAGTTCATCATTTGACAAAAAGAAAAATCGAGGAAAGTACAAACGTTTCTTTTCAAGATAATCATTCAGACCATGTTGAATGAGTTCAAGAAGAGTATTGCTCTTCTTTAATCTTTCTAACATTTTGTCTATTTTAATAACCTCCAAAACTTTGGGTTCCGCAACAGCAGATTTCATGATATCCTTCCACATCTACACATACAAACAAATATATACAAAAAATAATATATTGGGAGCAATTTACTAATAATAAGTAGTAATTATTTTTATGCCAAAACAATTGAACAAATTCATTTTAAAGTAAAATTTTATTAATTATTTTAATTTCGTATAATATGCTCATAGCGTTTGCAATTTCAAAATGTGCATAAACAATGTTTGTCACTATCGATTCGGCAAAGCACAGAAACAAAATATATATAAAACCATTAACATCAAGACAAATTTTGTGAAAGGTCTATGTTTTTTGTACATTTATCAACCTCTAATTACCTTGTCAACTGCACTGAAACGTCTTCCTTCTTCAGGCATTTGAGACTGAATATCAGGTGATGAGAAGATAGGTTCCAAATACATCCAAGTAGATTGAACCTTGAGCCAATCATCCAGAATCTCTTGAATCAACATCAAAGTTTGTTCCCATTCTCTGAAATTATATTTGAAAGAAAGTCAATTATAATAAACATGAGAACTCACTTCACCACCAATTTTTATTCCTTATTAATTATTATTAGAAACAGAGATAGAAAGAGTAGAACAATATGTAGTAAGTGTTCATCATTTACATGTAATGAACATTCAGACACAAAAGCAATAAAAATATGCATCAGTTGCCTAAAACACAAATAACCTTCAAAGAAGTATTTTGATGAAGTGAATTGGTGTAATAAAGGAGAAACAGGAATAAAGTAACTTAATTCTATTGAATTTGTCTTTAATTATATAGTAACTGCTCAAAATAATTTAAATGGTCATATTTTAGTTAGTTATTTTATATTTCAATGAAATCCTGTATAATATTTGAGTGGGGTTCACATGTACCCTACTTGGTATTCAGTGTTACATTTGGAGTTTGGTATGCGAAGGGTTAAGAGTGCAATAATTGCACAACTTCCTACTTCAGATTAAACGGTTTATCAGACAAAGATTCTTGTCTGTTAAAAGAACTGTCTGCCCATAAGTGAAAATTATTAATTTGCAGAGACATGTTAATTTATTTCACATTGTTACAATGTACAACAAATAACTGAATGATTAAATGAAACTTTAAAAAAAAGAAAAGGAAAAAAATTTCCATTCAAACATATTCCTGCCCTAAACAACACAATAACATTTTCCTTTTCAGTGATTTACATTGAAAAGAGATTAATTTAAATATCATTTGATGAAATTACTGTAAATTTCATAGATAATATACAGCATATAGAAGTAAATGGACACAGCACATGAAATCTTACATTATTTGTTTTTCAAACGGTTTTATGTATGGAGAGCTTTTCATTGTTTGTGTCTTCACAATGTGATCATCCAATAACAGTTGGATATCATCTACTGCTGACAAGATGCTGGTACCAGTATCACGATATGGAATTAGTTGAAATTCTATATTTGCCCATTCACTTTGCATTTTGGAAAGAGCTTTCTCCAAATTATTTTCCTTAGTAGCTGCTTCACTAATAGCCTCAAACTTAGGAATAAATTCATCTAGGCCAAAATCAATGACTTTTGCTAATGTCAGTTCTTCATCAGCTTTTAATGGAAATCCTACTATTTCTGATATCTGTTCCCAGTGCCTCTCCTTCATCCCTGGGTTTCCAAGAGTCTGAACAATTGGAATACTCTTTTTGAATTCCTCTATTTTCTCTCGTACCTGAAAAAATGTGTGATTTCCATTCATGAATTACTGTCATTAAGAGAAAAATATAAGAATTCAGTATAATCTGGAATTTTACTTACCACATTAGCCAATTTACGAGGAGCAGGTACATTCGTAAATTGTTTCTCCAATTTACAAATCGCTCTATAACAATTAGACACTTCATCTTCAACTTCATCTGGATTAAAACTCCCTACTTTACTATTCATCCATAGGTCATGTTTGCTTATAAAGTTATTACTGTTATCGTACAGCCTTTTGTAGGGTGACATCTTATCCATCACCTAAAAAAAACACTTTTGAAATAAAAAAAGATGCTCTTCTAAAAATAATATTTCATGTTTTCATAAACAAAACATATGATTGCGAAACTTGCCACTTTGTACATTGGGTATGAAGACTTTTCAAATCCAAAAGCAGTTTCTTCTTCGTTGAATTTGTCCATTTTTTCAAGAGCTTCATTTAATTTTTTGTCAATGTAATTAGCCTTCTTCACATACTTCTGCAAATCTTTGAGATCACCATAGGTAGTTAGTTCATCAGCTTGTTTACTTAATGCTAATAAATCTTCTTCAAATTTCTTCCTTCGAACCTACACAGATTAAAAATAATTAATTCAAGTTCCAGAGACAAATCTTTACATCATACCATTTTAATAAGGAATCTAATTCTAATAACAACTTTATATCATAATCATCATCATTATTGCTGATGTTGATATTATTAAAGATGTCGTGAATTACGACGAGTAGGGCATGGGCAGACCGGGAAATCGCCCGGGGCCCTGCAAGTGAAGGGGCCCAATCACGGGACTGATGGGAAAAGAATTTTAACTCGAGAAAAACTTTATCGTAATTTTATAATTCACGCTAAAGCAGTCAGACATTTCATAACATTTTCAATTAATTTTTTACCTTAAATGTCATTGTAGATATTATTTATAACGTAGGACTCTACGAGATTAATCAAATCACGCTAAAAATTAAAATAGGTTCTACTGAAATTCATACTTATTATTTCATGAATTTAACAAGTAATTTTATTAAACACTAACATAACTCCATTTTTTGGCGTTTTAAGATCATCGTGGAAATTGTAATATTTGGTCACAAAATACATTCACATATTTAATTTTTATACATTTTTGGGGGGGACGAGGGGGCTACGATTCAGCCTAAAATTATCCTGCACCGGCACTGGTTGAGTCGGTTGATTATAAAGTATAGACGAGGTGCAACAACTTCCTAAGGAGCAGATTTAAGGCGGCTATCGGCCCCAACACAATATTTCGCCCCACAATGTGTGTTCTGACACAAATTTTGCAGAACAAATCCCAGACCTCCGACAACTTTCGGGATGACCTGCGCTTTTACACCCCACATTCGGCTGATCTCTGTTTCCGAATTCGTGTATTTGAGACGCTTTTCTGCCTCCTTGGTTACGACGTGGTATGATTGCACGGCATGTACGATTTTTTCTCTAAATCCCGAATAACAATATCCAGTTTGCCTGCCACTATTGTGAGATCAGTTGGAATTTGTTGGTTGTACTATACTGTACACAGTCCAATAGACGTCACCAGTTTTGGTGAGTGTTCGTACCACTTGGAGCATGTGTTTGGAACATCGAGAACGGTACAGATCTGCCAGTAACTACACACCCTGTCGCGTAGTGTCTTTTCAAGTATTCAGTCTTTGTTAGAATTGGACAAGCTGAGACGATATGATCAATGGTATCTACTTATTTCTGGCAAATGCTTCATTTATCATCTTGGGAAATTTTGAGAACCGCTTGATCATGATGTCGTGTTCTCTACGCCTGATCCTGAGCAGTTATTAGAAATGCTTCCGAGTCTGGCTTCATTCTTCCCCTTTTGGCCACATAAATTATTGGTCTTTATTGATATGCACCTTGTCCATTCTTTTTAGATACTGTCCATGGAGTGGTTTGTCTCTCCAAGATTTCTTTAACATTTTTTTGTGTCTTATATTTCATGTTAAGGAGCATCAGAAGTTCAGTGTCTCTGTTATTCTGCGTGTCTTGTATAGTCTTGTTCGCAATGATTTTTTGCTACACTTACAGTGCTTCTGTTTCCCATTCTCCGATCAGATTTAATGACCTGCCTCATCTTTATGGCTGACTACATGTTTTCCCATCCCGATTATTGCATTGTGCCAGGAGGCTTCAATTTGTCTGAGGCCTCTTTATCATTCCTTACATGACTCATAAACTACGAGTATGTACTTATGAAGTCAGTATATGTACATCAGTTCGAGAATGGGCGACATGATGCTTTGTAAGCAGGTTTCTTCTTTTTCGATCCATGATTCGAATTTCTTGCTCAGTCCAGTCCACTGGTCCGAAACTGAATTCCGCTATAGGCACCGCCAAACTACATATGGCAGATACTTATTCCCGGAATTCAGAGTGGACTGTAAGACAATTCTCACGCTTCCTGCGAATTATCTCTTCCATTGTGTCATTCTAGATGGTCTCACATTCATCAATGCCCAGATATTTGTAAGTTTTACCGCAATTAAAATCTCACTGTATGTGTATCAATTTTAATGTCTCTCTTAATGCTATTCAATTTTAATCTCTGGCATTGTCAATTTATCTTTCTTTTCATTCATTTTTTTCACACATGCCAAGACCAAACTTCATGCAGATGTCATTTCTAAAATCATTGACGACAGACAGCATTTGGGTGAACATGGCTTCATTCTTAGCAAACACTTGTAAAACAAATGTGATTCTGCTCTTTCACCACCATGGAGCTTGTAACCAGAGTCAGTGTGCGACAACTGTCTAGATAGTGGGATCAAACTAGTGGGATAGGGGGAACAAAATAGTGAAATCGAAAATTAGTTTTTAATCAGAAAAGTATTAAAATCATACTTAACGGACGATATTTTTCATTCTACAGGTCCATTCATAATGCAAACTTAAACATAAGCATAGCGCATAGACATAAATTTTAACATAAGCGATAGATTGGTGTATTCACAATGCCTAACATAAACGTAAGCAAAATAAGTTTCTATTGGCTATGAGTCTTTCTGGTAGGATGTGAGAATCGATTTCATGATATCGACTGTGGCTGTGTCCCAAATGACGTTAGTTCTTCTATCGACTTCGCTCCAATTTCGATTCTCGATTTTGAGTTACCGTTCTGTGTTTGGTTAATTTCTTATGTCTTACGTAAGCATAAGCATAGAAGCTTGCAAGCTTTTAAGTTAACGTGACGTGTTATGCTTATGCGAACGCATTGTGAATGAGTCCGCTTGTGGACGTAGTCCTAACTTTTATGTTAACG